CCTAAACCATCCTTTAAAAGACTGATGCTTACTAACAATTAAATGCTGCTGTAAATGGACCAAAATGAACTCCAGATAGATTAGGGTTGAGGTTTAAAAACTGTAAAGAATCAACCCACAAACAACAGTGAAAAATAATATTCATAGATCCCTGGACTGGAATTTTAACATTTAGAACTATAAATGAGGCTGAGCGTGCTGATGTGTATCCGTGATCCCAGCCTTTGGTTGATGGAGGCAGAGAACTGAGCCCAGTTCTATCCTTGGTTACATACTGAAATCAAGGCCAGCCTGGGCTACCTGAGACCCTGCCTCAAAATAAAAACAAAAACAAAAAACCCAACCCAACCCAAACAACCAAACAAAAAATCCATCTGGGCCTGGTGGCACAGGCTTTTAATCCCAGCACTCAGGAAGCAGAAGCAAGCAGATCTTTGAATTCAAGGTCAGCCTGGACTACAGAGTGAGTTTCAGGACAGCCAGGGCTACATAGAGAAACCCTGTCTCAAAACAAAATAAATAAATAAATAAATAAAAAAGCCCCTCCCAAAAACAAAACAAAACAAAACAAAAACAGAGAAAGATAGAAACAAAAACCAACAACAAAGAAAATCCCACAAAACTATAAATGAAAGTAAAAGATCAAATTATTTGTCAGTATAAAGTTATTTTATATTAAAAATAAAGGTAAATACCCAAAAAAACTAGAAAAATATTCCAGCATTTTGAATAAAATAATTTAATTCTCAGATAATAATATCTGAGAATCAGTGTAAAGATGAGCAAAAGACAAATTTGCAAAAAGAATAGGTAAGAATTAAAGAGACGTTTCCAGCATTTAACTTTATCAGTCCCCCAAATCAAAGCATAACAAAGCCACGATGAAATACCATTTTACAGTTAAATGTCATAGATAATCGTTACAGCAGCTTATGACTCAGTATTTCACATGGGGCCGGTAAGGGCATGGTAGAAAGAAAGTAAAGGGTTATTAAACTACAGTCCATTGTCAAGGCTTTAAGGAAACGGGCACTTCCACATATTGCTGGCAGAATAACAAAGACCTAAGGAACACAACTTGGCAATGCCCAAAGATACAGACTCATTCGGCCTATGACCCTCCCACCCAGCTTCTATCGTCTATATATAACCTGTAAATACAGTTGTCCCTCTATGAAATGGCAGGGACATAAGAATATTCACTGCAGTAGCAATGACTGTGAAGAGTGTCCAGGCACTGTGCAACAGGACTGTTGAAACACGCTGTGCTATGTCCATAGATTAGGACTCTAATGTGTTTATGGAGCTTTCCATGCACCAACATGGAAGGACTCAAGATTATGAAAATAAGCGAATCATGCTGACACTACTGTTTGTCATAAAAGACAAAAGGGTAATGTATATATACCTCATTATAGTCTTCAAACTTCCTAAGATTAAGTTTGTTTTATCACACTTTCTACAAAGCTATCACTCTGCAATGAGATTTTTAACACTAAAACATATACATTTCCTAAAGAAATAATAAAGCAAATTATGGTAATGCATGCAATAAATTTTACTTCTACTGACTGTGAGTTACTTCAGTGACTGTGAGTCTGGATAAAGATACTCTTTGCTTAAGCAAAAATGTGACATTAAAAACTCACAGAATGTGATGTGGACACTAAGGAAGAGGAGGTAAGTCAACGTCAGCTGAGTTCTAGGTGACAATCTAACACGTGGTTTAGCCAGACATCTATCACCAGGCAAAAGAGTACCACCAGCAGAGAGCCAGGAAATGGATGCAGACAGAGAGAGAGAGAGAGAGAGAGAGAGAGAGAGAGAGAGAGAGATCTGGGGGGACAAAAAGGCATTGCTATGTTCAGACAGGGGGTCATTTTTCCTTTTACAGAATAGTCCCTTGGAGGAGAATGGGAACCGCAAAGACTCTGAGAAGAAGAGAAGAGAGAAGTTAAGGTGGCGGGGCCAACAGAACAGGCATCAAGTGCTCTGGCAGTTGCTCACAGTGGGTAGCGCTTTTCTCCATCCTCTCAGTTCATGTGACTACTATTTCTTTCTTCCTCATTCATTTGTTCGTTCCTTCGTTTGTTCATCTGCTGTTTGGTTTGAGTCAGGCTGTCACTGTGTAGCCTACAATGGTGTTGAACTTGTGGACCTCTGGTCTCTGCACCCAGAGAGCTGGGATTTCAAGCCTGCGCTACCACGCCCAGCTACTTTTCATAGTTTGTCAAATTTCCTGCTACCACCAAGTCTAGCTGTGTCTGGAGAAATGAAAGAGAGCATAGCCAGGGATCCATTCCCCATGACTCATACAAGGAGCAGCTTGGGGGCCCCATGCTAGAAGCACCACCTCCTCTGTTCTGGAGCCCTTTGTCCTGAGGGCTTAAGCTTCAAGGCAGTGATTTCTTTTTTTAAACTCAAAATCTGTAAAGTGTTAGAGAATTACAGTTGGTTCACAACATAGGAATCTAATTCGTAAGAAAATATGTAGTTTCTTAGGTTGGGATAAACAAGGAAAAGGAGGAGATATGTTCATAAAGCAATGTTAAGATTGCACAACAGGTAGCATTGTGGGACACCAGATATATGTCAGAGACAGTATGACAAAATGGAAAAAGTCTAACATTGAACATGTGAAGTGGGGATTTTAATCCTGGGATCAAACTACATCTAAGGAGGATGTTGCATAAACTGGTACATTGATCCATATGTTTATTATCTGACAGACTGACAACATGAATAAGATAACAACATAAATACTGAAAAAACACAATGTACAAGACAGCCGTGGAAGACAGAAAATATTGTAACGTACTAAGAGTGGGGTATGAGGTACTTTTGGAGCATCCCTGTTAGCTCTGACTGTCACCTGGAGTCATATGAGAAGAAATCGCAATTACAGGACTCCCCAGATCAGATGGAAACATGCAGGGCATGTCTGTGGAAGGTTGCCTTCATTGGTAATGGATAGAGGAGGGTGTGGCCCACTGTGGACCCACACTATTCCCTGGGCAGATAGTCCAGATGGTCTTGGACTCTAGAAGAAAGGTAGCTAAGGATGAGGGAGTGAGCCTGGCAGATATTGAGAGACAGCACGATCTAGACAGGTTGGAGAGCCAGTACAGAGTCCTTAGAACTGCGCCTGGGATGTTCTAAAACATCCAGGAGAGACATGGCAGGCAAAGAAGTGAGCAGTACGGGATGAGGTGAGAGGCACGGAAGGCTGGACAGGCAGACCCATGGGATGTTCCAAGCCGCTGTGACTGAGTGGAAGGCTAGATGCTAGACAGAGAAAACCCCTGATATATCAAAGGACAAGATTAGAGGTAGCAGAAGAAAGACCAGATACACCATCCAGGCAGGGGAGCATGGAAGGCAGAGGGTGATTGGAAGAACAACCAGCCGCGGGGAAAGAACACTTCAAAAGATTAGTTATGTACATCTTACAAAGAGAATGGGTCTCATGATGACATCTTTATTCAAGTATGTTGTGTATTTAACCATATCCCCTCGTCCCATTTTCCTTTCCTGTTCTCCTCCCCTCTCCCACGGATCCTCTTCCTCTTCCCAAATAGTCCCTCTTTGATTTTAAGCTTCCATATATAAGAGAATACATAGTCTTTTTTTCTAGGCCTAGCTTATTTTCCTTGAAATGACCACAATTGTATCCAGTTCCCTAAAAATGATACTTTTGTTCTTCCTGGCAGGACTGAAGTTCACTGCACATATGTGTATACATATGGTATATTTTTCCCCTATCCTCTTCCCCTCCCCCACTGTTTTTAGACAAGGCCTCATATAGCCTAGGCCAGTGGCCTCAAGCTCATATGATGGGGATGCAGATGTGAGTCAGCCCCATGTTTATGTGGGGCTCAGAACTGAGGCCAGGGCTTTCTGCCATGCTAGGTCTGTACTTAACCAGCTGAGCCACATCTCCAAGCCTATATTATCTTTACCTATTCATGGATGTGCTTGTTTCTCCCTAATAAAACTGTACTAGCTTGGGGTGGAGGAAATGGCTCAGCACTTGGGAACACTGGCTGTCTTCCAGAGGCCTTGGGTTCGATTCCCAGCACCCACGTGGCAGCTCACAATTGTAACTCCAATTCCAGCAGATCTGACTGCAGGAATGTGATGATGCACAGACATACAGGCAGGCAAAAGGCCCACAAGCATTAACAGAGAAAACCAAACGATGCTGGCACCTGCTCAGCAGCACAGATTATGTGCCTCTGTTAGTAACATCACATTCGGCAATGTTACTTTGGTTCTTAAAACTGGCTATGGTTGAACGAGTCCACCACTGAAAGTAGTAAATGGTACACATCTAGTGGTAAGCTGGGTTAGCTGCATGCAAATGATGCTACCTCAAAAAGAGGTGCCTAGGCAGGAGAAGCTGCTACCTGGACCCCCAGACACTCACTGGGGAAATAACGATGAAGGCTCATACAAATGAGTCTCCTTTTGCATGAACTGACACAGAGGTTCTAATAGAGGGAAAGGGGCTTGGGGCTAAAATAAATTCTGCAGGTGGGCATTTGGGCTAGCTCTGCCTGAGAAAACAAGGCAATATTATACAAATGTAAGGTGAGTCGAGTTTAAGTTGGCAGGCAGACCAATCTTACTTTGTTTCCTTCTCTAATGGGCATTTGTATGGCAGCCTGGGAAAACAGCCTCTCCAGGCAGAGGATTTTTGAAGGTTTGTGTTTGGCCCTTGATGAGAAGTTTCTAAGAAAAACAAGGGAAAGCCACACTTTGAACACAGGGAGAAAATTCTTCACTGAGCCAGGACTCTACTGAAGTAAAGTAGAAATGAAACCGTGCTGTATGGAAACAGTTAAGTTCTTCTGTACCTGCCCGATGGTTACTTTGGAACTTCGTTTTACATAGTTTGGTTTTTAAAAGGGTAAGTTTCTGGGTTAAAATCATTTTAGTTTTCTCTCTTGGACAAAGTAACTTTCTCAAGTGTTTCTGTGGTCTGCCCAGCAGGGCCTGTGGCCGTTGGGCTGGCTGCTCTGTGTCCCCGTCCTGGCTGAGCAGGAGTTGGCGAGCCACAGGCACTTTCTTCTTCCCCTGGGCTGAGTGGAAACTGGCAATCCTGCAGATTGGGAGCCAAACTGGAACTCCTTCCATCTGTGTCCAGTCATACAAGGATTTGGATGGGCTCCAAAGGAAGGTCTTACAGAGCACTTAATCAAGTGCCCCGGAGGTTACATTTCAGGAAAGCTCTCTTGGATCCAAGACAAAGGCGGGGTGTAAAAAGCGAAAACAAGAGTCGCCTGAGTCAGAGGTCCTTTGGTCTCCTCCTCACTCAAGACCGCGCTTCTCTCCCAGATGAAACAGGTTGGTTCCTTCTTCTTTTTTTTCCTCCTTCTGACCTGAATATGCGTTTTTCATTTTTTTTTAAGCCTAAAGACTTTGAATTCTTATCTTAGTGTGGGATGGGGGACTCTTGGTACATGAGAGTTCAAACATTTACATGTGCCAAAAAAAAAAAAAAAAAAACCTATTTAAGAATATCTCTACACTTTAACCTGCAAGTGAAAATATGAATGTATCAAGAAGAAAATATTATTTTCAATACCACTGCTGATGTGTCAGAGCCAATAGGGTTTACCAGATCATTTCTTTCTGCTCTTTATCATAAGTATTTTTGTCTTGAGAATATTTTAAAAGGACTTAAAACCCTTCCTCCACATCTGCAGAAGGGTAATTTCTATTCCTATTTTGGCTTTCTTACTCTGCAGGAAAGTCACACTTGCAAAAACTCGTCCTTATATTTTATTTGACTCTGTTGCTCAAGTTCAAGATTTCTGTGGCAACAGAGAGGAAAGAACAAAGTCATATTGTGTTAATAATTAATGCAGAGACCATGGAGGCTGCAGGAGGCTTTTGCAATACTTCTAACGACAAAGTTGTCACTGTAGAATGCTGCTGCTTCCTTTCTGTCTAATAAAGACAATCCCTCTCTGGGAAGCAGCTAAGGGAGCACCTTTCCTAAGGGAGCACCTTCTCTAAGGTAGCACCTTCCCTAAGGGAGCACTTCTCTAAGGGAGCACCTTCCCTAAGGGAGCATCTTCACACTATTCATTCAAAGAAGAATTAGCTAGTTAAGGACCTCTTTAGAAACTTGATATTCTTTCCTATACTGTTTTGAAAATGCTGTTTTCATGATTGATTCTGTAAGACCTGCAATTCTTTGGAGGACAAAAATGGCCAACCAAGATAGAGAAGCTAAACAAGAAAAGGTAATAAAAACATTGAAAGTCTTTGCAATATTCATATTAATATTTTTGAATTCAGTGTAAGCTGTTCTTGGTACACTGCAGTGGATTAGCCAGCTTGTGATTCCTGAGTTTGAGACAGGAGACCCCTTAACATATCCTCCATTCAGTCTGCAATAACAACTTTATATGTTGTTGGCAAAGCCTCCAGAATCTGACAGATATTTAGTGGACAGCTGGAGTGTACCTGGTATGCTAATAAAAGCTTCAGTCACAACCAGAAATCAAACTGCTCAGACATCAGAGAACTTAGAGATATGTTTTCTCCACAGGACGGAGTTATATTCTTGATCAAGGGTGAATCTTCTGGGGAGGAAAGACCCAAATTAACCCATTCTTAAGGGAGGACAGAACATAGTGCTGGGTAAAGGGCAGATGAGAAAGATGGGGATGCACATCAGGGCACAGAGAGTCTGCTAACAGCTGACTCAGCAATTCTGTCTACTGTTGGGGGTAGGGAGGGGAGGCTGGCAGGAGGGAGCCTTGGGTACCACTCTAAGGACCCTGTGTTGCTTCTTTCTCGGGATGTGAAGTGCTTCCTGGTATAGAGCTAAGTGAGGCAACAGTAGATTGACAAGTCAGAGGTACACTACTGACCATCAGTAAGGATGGTTTTCACAAGAAGTTGCTGAGAAGGATGAACAGCAGTCAGCTGGGAAGACAGTGCAGTAAGAGAGTGTGTGCATGTGTGTGTATAGGTGCGTGTGTGTGTGTGAGTGTGTGTGAGTGCGTATGTGTATTATGTGCATGTGTGTGAATGTGTGTGTGTGTGTATATATGTGCATGTGCACACAAACAGAAGGGCCACAGCGGGCAGATGGCACAAGTTTACAGAATGTAAGGACACGAAAATTCCAGAGACATTTGCAAGGTAAAATCTGAACTTGCAAACCAGGTGGTAGCTCACACCTAAAATCCCAAGAGGATTGCTAACTTGGGCTACAGAATAAGATTTGTCTCAGAAAACAAAAACAAATCAAAATAAAGCAAGCAAGTAAGAATGAATAAATTTCCAAACTAACTGGAAACCAGGGGATCAAGGTAATCTAGAAGTCCAGAACAGTGCCTGGTTTTAGCTTAGAGGGACCAGGGAACACAGGCTTGGGAGGCAGGCTGACTAAATGAGGCTTCCAGGTAGAAAAGTCAACAGTAATGCTCTATACAAATGCCAAATTAATTTATCTAAATTAAAATTAGAGAAACACTAGAATAAAAAATTAAAACATTCCCTTTTCAAGTAAAAAAAATTAATTTATTGTAGATATAAGAGTTAAGTTATGAGGGGTGGGCCCTGCAGCCTGCCTTCAGCTCCAACTCAAAAGGTAGAGAAAGGATGTGTGAAGCAAGCTGGCTAGTCAGAATAGCTATTGGTGAGCTCTGGGTACAACCCTGACCTCAACTCAAGAAATAAGGTAGAGAATAATCTGATGACTCCTAATGTCAACTCCAACATGTAGATACATGCACACATATGTGCCCTCATACCCCCACACACAAACACATACAAAAGAAACCCCACAAAAACAAAACTCATATTTACTTAAAAGTCTTCAACTTTATCTAGGATTTAGTAACTAAGGGAATCCCTCAGGATATTGTCTATTGGCCATGGACAAATGCCAGTTCCTGTACACAGACTTGTAAGAACAAAGGATGGGGGAAGTGACTCAATGTTGGCTCCCATTAAAATTTTCAGAGTGAGATCCAGACTCACATATGACAGCCACACTCTATCCTCTAGCCATATGTTGGGCAAAGCGACTTCCTTTTAAGCAATGCTGAAGTGGGTGTCTTGTGTTCTTCCTGCCATCCAGCTCGGTGCCATGGCTCCGGGGCAGAACCAGTCAGTGGAATACTACTATGAGGACAATGAAATGAATGACACTTATGACTACAGCCAGTATGAATCAATCTGCATAAAAGAAGAGGTCCGGCAGTTTGCAAAAGTCTTCCTCCCTGCCTTCTTCACAGTAGCCTTTGTCATTGGACTGGCTGGGAATTCCATAGTGGTGGCAATTTACACCTATTACAAAAAACAGAGGACCAAGACAGATGTGTACATCCTGAATCTGGCTGTGGCAGACTTGTTGCTTCTGGTCACGTTGCCTTTCTGGGCAGTGAGCGCAGTTCATGGGTGGATTCTAGGGAAAATTATGTGCAAAGTAACTTCGGCCCTGTACACTGTAAACTTCGTCTCTGGGATGCAGTTCCTGGCTTGTATCAGCATTGACAGATACTGGGCAATCACTAAGGCCCCCAGCCAATCAGGAGCGGGGAGACCCTGCTGGATCATATGTTGCTGTGTGTGGGTGGCTTCTATCTTGCTGAGCATACCCCAGCTGGCTTTTTATACTGTGAATCCCAATGCCAGGTGCACGCCCGTCTTTCCCCACCACCTAGGAACATCCCTGAAAGCCTCCATTCAGATGCTGGAAATCTGCATCGGCTTTGTGATTCCCTTTCTTATCATGGGGGTGTGCTATGCCATCACTGCAAGGACACTCATCAAGATGCCCAACGTTAAAAAGTCTCGCCCCCTCAAGGTCCTGCTCACAGTGGTTGTAGTTTTTATTGTCACTCAGCTGCCTTATAACATTGTCAAGTTCTGCCAAGCCATAGATGCCATCTACTTGCTGATCACCAACTGCGACATGAGCAAGCGCATGGATGTTGCCATCCAAGTCACAGAGAGCATCGCGCTCTTCCACAGCTGCCTCAACCCTGTCCTGTATGTCTTCATGGGTGCCTCTTTCAAAAACTATATCATGAAAGTGGCCAAGAAATATGGATCCTGGAGAAGACAGAGACAGAATGTGGAGGAAATTCCTTTTGATTCCGAGGGCCCTACAGAGCCAACTAGTTCTTTTACCATTTAAATTTAAAACTGCTCTCTGCTTTTTGCTTGGGGACACACACACACACACACACACACACACACACACACACACACACACACACACACACACGTGATGGTTCTTCCTCAAATAAAATATTTGTGTTACACTGAGACTCAAATGTTTAATACTAGACTGTAGTCTAGTATTTGTAGCAAGGAGTAGGGTTATGAGGAACATAGATGCCACAGAATAAGCAACAAATGGGCAAAACTAAAGTTAGTGACAGGAAAATAGCATGGCAAAAGGAAGAAAGCATTGTGCTAGAAAGAGGAAATGTTTGTGATGGTGCGGAGAGGGGGAGGAGAAGGGAAGAGGAGGGGGGATTGCATCTCGACTGCAGTGATGGTTACTCAAATTTAGATGTGCCATATGTGAATTTCAACTCCTGATTTTGATAGCAGCTATAATTATGAAACATAAAACATTGGCTAATGAGCACCCATGACCATCCTATGGGATAAGTCGCTGTGTAAGAAACCCCCAGAGCCAACTTGTACTAAATTTGTAACTTCCTGTAAATAGAGAGCAACTTCAAAATAAAAAGTAAAAAAAAACAAAAAACAAACAAAAAACACGCTGTGAGTCAGATGATTTAAAACCAATTAATAAAGAAACATGTTGAGGGAATTATTATAATTATTGTAATTATCTAAATTTTAATAATATTTTCTCTGTAAAATTCCAAATCTTAAATAGTCATAACAAAACTCATTCTTTTTTTTGTTTCTTAATTTATAAGTGATTTTATAAGATATAAAATGGCAATTATCCCAACCTTTAGAAAAAAGGCCAAACCTATAAACTTTTCTGAGATATTCACACAGTCTGGTAAGTGCCTATATATGCAATTTGCTTTGATGATGTCACCAAGAAAAATTATCCAAATATATGCTGGGTTCATTATGCATATTCTGTTTTGTTTTTTTTGTTGTTGTTGTTGTTGTTTTGGTTTTGGTTTTTCAAAACAGGGTTTCTCTGTGGCTTTGGAACTAGCTCTTGTAGACCAGGCTGGTCTCAAACTCACAGAGATCTGCCTGCCTCTGCCTCTCAAGTTCTGGGACTAAAGGCATGCGCCACCAACGCCCAGCTTCATTATGCATATTCTGGAAGCACAACTTAAAAATCAGTTATCTGGAGTCTAATTTTATAACTTCCTAAAGAACTTCCCCAAGTATGTTGGCCTATTACTGAGAACTGATGAGCAAATATACTGTCCTATATATATATAAAGGCTATATAGGACATAAAGGATATTAACTTCCATTGAAACATGCATATTTTAGGCAATAAATATATATCACATTTACTGTCGTTGCTGACACTTAAGACACTTAAGTGGTGCTCTACCACCACTGACCTACACCACAGACTCCCTTTTCTTGGTAGTGTTTCTATGTCTGACAACGTTTCTGGGGCTGAGTTTAAAGCTGGGACCGTGGAGCAGTGGCTGGGAGTCAAGGCACTGCCCTAGCAATGGGGTTGTGGGACCACGGACAACACTCACCGCTGCTCCACCACTTCTTGCCATTAACTATATAGCTATCTCCATCTCGCTGGATGCTGCACTCCATGTTTGTGGCATCGCTTGATGAGACATTGGGCTCTGTAAAAGAACAGCAGATGAGAAAGGGTAAGCTCTTCCACGCAGAGGCATACTGGTTTCTAAAGTCTTTCCATCTTACCCTTTTCTCCTTGGTCCTCTCCTAACATACTAACATACACACTGCAAGCAAGTGATAAATGTGAATTGGAAAGTAGAGGAATGCAGTGTAGGATTGGTACTGACAATTGTGTCCTTGGAGCCTTTGCTGATGTCTGAGTCAGGATACAACTCACTCATCATTTGCCCAGTCACCAAAGCAGATGCAAAGGCCGCCTTGACTTTCTATAGTGGAAATCTGCTTTAACTGTTGGCAGGCTGGATTTCTGATTTTTCTACTATCACTAACAATGTCTACCTGCACCTTGTAAGTGCTACTGGGATGTGTCATCCAGGTTACACCTTGTGACACTGAGATCTTCTCAACAAGGCTTTCTGTGCAATACCGGTAACTATCCTTAAATACTGCTTACTGCATGGCATGTGACAACCAATCAGCTTTTACTTTGTTCAGATATTATTCTTGTTTTTATTTTGTGTGCTTATGTGTGTGTGCCTGCATGCTGGAACATGTATATATTTGAAGACCAGGTAACTGCAGTTGTCATTTAACCTCTGGCTTTTTTTTTTCTTTCTTTTTCCTTTTTTTGTTTTTGTTTTTGTTTTGAGACAGGGTCTCTCATTGGCCTGGTACTCAGTGACTGGCTAGGTTGGCTGGCCAGTGAGCTTCAAGGATCTTTCTGTGCTGTGATTACAATTGTGTATCATAACATCGACTTTTTATGTAGATTCTGGGAAGAGAACTCAGGTCCACATACTTGCGTGGCAAACCCTTTAAAGACTAAGTCATACATCCCTGATTGTTTGGGATACTTTTAAAGCTCCAGAAGCTGTTTCCAGAGAAAGTGGATGGCAAGTTTATTTTGTGACCTTAGGTTGGGGTTTTGTAAACCCTATGTCATCGCACCATTCTGTAGTTGTTTGATAAATACCTCTTGATGACTTAAGTAGAAAGAAGTTTTGTTATTACATAAAAATCATATGTGTGGGTATATAATAATTGTTATATATATCCGGGTGGTAGTGGTGCATGTTTTTAACCCCAGCACTCAGGAGGAAGAGGCAGGTGGATCTTTGAATTCGAGCCAACCTGGTCTACAGAGTGAGTTCCAAGACAGCCTGGGCTACACAGAGAAACCCTGTCTTGAAAAACCAAAACCAAAATAAATAAATACATAAATAAATAAAATCTGATCATTTTTGAAAGGTCAATATGAACTTTACATTATGACCAAACTGAACTCAATTCTAAACTCGAGGTGAGATGTGATTTTTGTCTTGAAGGAATTTTTAAGATTGCTATTTCCAGTGTACAAATGTACCAATACCATTGTCACCCTTGTGTCCCTGGCTTTCTCCTCTACCTGGTTGTTTCAGAAATATTTCCACTGGTTTAAGTCCTGGTTTCTAGGGCTATGGAATAGTTGAGTGGTTTATAGTCACATAAATACCACAAAGATGAATATCAATGAGCAGAGTTATGGAAACAACACAATTTAAAAGACATCACCCCACTGCTGTTGCTGAAGCAGACCTCCAGAATGCATCTGGAGCCCTCCCAAAAGATGGGGGCGTTTCCCCTGGACACTTAAGGGTGACAGCATTTCAAACCAGGCTCGGGAGAAACACATTTCTGGCTGTGGGCAAAGTTGGCTACACACCACACTGCTTCCCATCATCCACCCACGGTAACCCCAGGATGAAGGGGACAGGAGACAGGGCTGTGACTTCTCCTACCTGTCATACAGAATGAAGAGGTGATGTCCCCACGAAGGAGGGGCTCTAGCCACTGCTGCTTCTGTTGTTCGCTGCCATACATGTGCAATACCTCCATGTTGCCCGTGTCTACACATGAGAAGAAAATTGATTGACATTTAAAGCTATCAGTACTCAACCCACACTTACGAAGATAATACGGACTACACCTTTTCTTCTTATCTCTCTCTCTCTTTTTTTTTCTGATTCTTTTTTAAGACAGGGCTTCTCTGTGTAACCCTGGCTATCCCAGGACTTGCCCTACAGACCAGGCTGGCTTCAAATTCACAAAGATCTGCCTGCCTCTGCCTCCCGAGTGCTGGGATTAAAGGTGTGTGATACTACCACCTGGCTCAGACTGTATCTTTTTAAGTAAAATGTTTGTTGGTGCAAATATTCTGAAATGTACATTAAGTTTAATGGGTAATGATGACATGCTGTGTCGCTACAAGTACGTGGCATTCAGTTCATGATTTCCTGAAGTTTTCCTGACGCTTGGGTGCTTGCTCAGTTCACTGCATGGCTTTAAGGAGGTCAGACTCAACTAGGACTGGAGTAGCTGTTCCTGGTGCCTGCTGTGCTTGTATGCTACATCTGGAGTGACTTCCGTGTTCTAGAGAGCCTCCAGCTCCCACATGCCCATGCTGTCCCTCAGGCACACGGTTCGGCTCGGAGCAGGCCTCTGTGAAGGTCTGCTAGTTGTGGACAAGGGCTGCTCACAAGGTACACTCCCACACACCCACTCCGAGAGACCTCCTTGCTCTGAGCTACAGTAATTCTCCTTTACCTTTCCAAGCTTGTTTTTGCTATTTACTCTGTTTCTGAGACAGGTTTCCTCTTTGTAGCCTTGACTGCAATCAAACTCCTGCTTCTGTCTTGAGAACCCCTGGCCTGTAAGGAAGCAGAAACCCTCAGGGATCCACTCCAGTCCTGAGGGGTGCTGTCCAGTACACCTGAGGGGTGCTGTGCAGTACAACACACACTCTACCTTCTGCAACTGAGAAAGCACACTCTGTGTTGTAAGCAAAATGTTCTATATGCCCTTCTCTTATTTCCCTTTCTGCAGACTTTTAAGATTCTGCTTGAATCCTCCTGAGATTTTAAGGAAGATTCTCAGTGTCACCTCCCGTGACTTGGAGGATGGTTGCTCAAATGCTGATGAAAACTGACAGTTCTGATTCAAGTCAAGAGATATCTGTAAGTGCTGGAGAGATTGCTTAGGGTTAAGGGCACCTCCTGCTCTTGCAGAGGACCTGGTTCAGTGCCCACCACTCACTCCAGGCAGCTCAAAACAGCTCACAAGTCCAGCTCCAGGGGATGCTACATCCTCCTCAGGAGACTCGCACACATACATGTATGTACACATACAGACCTTAAGAAACCATCCTTAAGGAATATATCTTTGCATTCTGTTCAGATACTAATACCAAATCAAGAGGCACGATATCTCTAACAGATCAACACAAACCTAATGAGTGAGGGAAAAAAGAAGTCCTCAGTTACAACGAACAGAATGAACTATTTGCTTTGTTTGCTTGTTAAATTTGGTATTACTTGCTATAGCTCAAACAAAATGAAGAAACAAAACGCTTCAAAATTAAGTTGGGAGCAACGGCATTCATCTGTATACCTAGCACTTGTTTGTGGGGGCAGGGCAGAGGCAGAAGGATCAAAAGTTCAAGGTCGTCCTCGACTACACAAGTATACGGACAGTGTGGGCTACACGAGAGCTTACTTCAAAGAGAAAGAACGAATCTAAAATTATCAGTTTTACTCTGAGAAACTGACCGATTTTTAATCGGTAATTTAGGGAGAGGCCTAGAAAAAGTCAGCCCAGAGGCCCTGAATTATTTTAGGGACAGGTTTGGAAACTAAGATTAGCTATTTTCAGCAGGGAGACAACAGAAAGGCAAACTGGAGGTTACACATATTTTCTAAGCTTTGGTAACTGTGGGTTTTGGAAAGCCTAGGTAGAAATCAGTCATTCAGACCTCAGAACTCTCCCAAAGAATGTAATCAGTCACTACTGTTTGTCTGGAGAAAATGCTCCAGCACACGGCGCCCCAGGCTTTTGCAACAGCTCTACCACAAAAGACAGACTCTTGGCTTCTTGGTTTTCCTTGTCTTTCTGCTTGAGAGAGTTGCTTAGTCATTTCTTGGTTTAAAGAAAAAAACTAATTTAAAATTTGCGGCAATCTTGTGGTATTATTTAAACAGAACAGCAAACAGACTCATGAAATTGCAATCTCAGGAAAACCTCCTTAAGTGTCTGGTGACAAGTGACTCCACAAATGAAATGGCTGACCATGGCAGAGCTGCAAGCAAGCTTCCCGCAGCCTAACTTGGCACGCTGTGTGTGACCCATTACTGTGACACAAACCTACCAGAATACGGCTAACACTCTAAAAACATCATGTTGGGAACAGGCGAAAAAGCACCTTGGCCTTAGTTCTGCCATTTTGACTTCAGACTCCATTTTTCCTGAAAGGTGAAACGAAGTTCAGGTTCCCATGCTGACCAACTTAAGCGAGAGAAATAGTAATTGTGCATCTTTAGTTCTCTACACACATGGCTGTTCCTAATAACAGAAGGAACAATTGAATCTGATATCTGATTGGTTGGACTGAAAGGCTCCCATTGTAGAGTGATTGTCTATGACTGAACACTCAAGGAAGCCCCTAATCTCTAAATCCTGATTGGTGAAAACTGTAACTGCAACTGGGGAAAAAAAAAAAAGTTTGCGATTTTTGTGCTTAAATATTTCCTTCAGCTGGCTTTCGGGGTCACAGCCCTGATGGATCAGCCCAGCCCTCCAGTCCTTTCTCTTTTGTGTTGCCCTGCATCAAATCTTGCCTTTTGTTAACCTCGTGAGACCTGTGTTTCACCAATACAGGGGAGTTTTTGTCCACCCACCTACAAATCCAAGTGTGCACCTATATATGCCACACATTGGGTCTTATTAGGAAGAGCAGGAAGAAAAGCTTCGAACTTCAGGATTAGCAGGTTGCCCTTTCCTATAAAATCCTGCAGCATATGTCATGTGTCGTAACAGCTTCGTGGATTTGGGATAAATTCTTCAGACAGCGAGGACACGGTTTTCTCTTATAGCCTTTTGACAGGATTACAGTGTAGGTCAACAGTGATTTGATAAACTGGTGTAGACAGAAGGGAAACCATGCCAGGGATAAGAACTGTTACCAGAAGCCTAAGAACGATCTTGAACTTTACAGGCAAGTCTGTCAAAGTCTAGCATGGTGCCACTTTGCTAGATCTGGTCTCTTGTCTCACAAATGCACTACACTTCCACGGCCCTTCTGTCTGCTTGACACGGCACTGACCCTTCTGGGAGAGCCTTAGCACCGGGCCACACAATAAATGGCAGCTCTGAGGACCCTTGAGCACAGGCGCCATAGGATATCCTGCCAGTTAAGTTTACTGTGTGCTGGCACAATGGTGGCTGCGAGCCCCTGGCAGAAACAAAGCCAGCCTTTTGAGGGAAAGTGCTTTGCATAGTGGAGAGACTGGCGACTAACAAAGAGCTCTGGAATTCCTATTTCTTCCAACTTGCCATAGAAATACCCAACCCCAGTCAGGAAGTGGGGTGTTTATCTAACCAGTCCTCTTGGTGGCTACTTCTGTCTACTGGCACTGTTATTGTGGTGATGCTGATTAGCCCACCGAGAACCTCAAATCCACTTTTACATTGCATTCAGAGTAGCTGTAAAATTATGGCAAAAATCTGTAAATGCATGGCTTCCCGTATAGGAAAATTTCCTTAAAATAGAGAGATTTTAAACACTGTTCAAACTATTGGAGAAAATTGCTTGTAGTAACCTGGTGCTTGGCAGTTAAAAACATCTGGAGCAAAAAAACATTTTCCGGTCTCTTCGGCAATCAAGGCATAGTCCAGCTGGCTGAGACCACTCACAGCTGGCAAGAACATATTCCACAGGCCTTCTGCCTTGGCCATTTCCTGTCAAGGGGATGGACAAGTGATCAAAAAGTGTCAAACAAAGTAGCTTATTGTAAACAAATATTGGTGCTAGTGTTTTTTTTTTTTAATTTAAAATCATTTATGGCATTGTTTCATTGTGTTCTACACTGTATTAAATCAAAAAGATACTAACTCATTAAGTAGGCAGTTTTTTTCTTTTTTTGTTTTTTGTTTTGTTTTTAATAATAAAGGAAACGTCTTGCTTTCCAGGACTCCGTAGATTTGGCTCTAAGACTAAATTTGCATACTTTGGTGCTTCTTATTCAATCGGAATGATGGACACACACACACATTTGAGTGCAGCTCTGTCGAATGTGTTATGCCCTGCGGTATGCACATAGCTGGTAGGACCTGAAAACATGGAGTGTGACTTGACAGCACACTGGACAAGGCGTCCTGCTTTGTCCCTGCTCCTTGCTGAACAAACCCGGGGCCTTGCATACAAGGAGAGCTGGTCCACTAAGTTACAGCCCAGCGTCCACATCCCAGGCCCTCACGTCAGTGAGGGGCACCAGGGAACAGCATCAAGAGACTGTCTTCATCAGAGACACATTCAGGGTCCTAGGTGTTCCAGTGCTGATAGCAGGCCCTCTCTCCCTCTCCCTCTCCTGCTTCCTCCCTCCCTTCCTCCTTCCCCTCCCCTCCCTTCTGTCTTTCTTCTCTTCCTCCCCAACCCTTCCTTTCTATCTAAAACGGAATCATACTGCAGCTCTGGCTCACTATGTAGCCCAGGCTGGCCTCTAATTTGCAGCAATCCTTCACCTTCAGCCTCAACCTCCCTCCCAAGTGTGAGATTACAGGTGTGAGCCACCATAGCCAACCACAGTATTTTTTTTTTTTAAGCCCAGATTTTAAAAACCCTTATTTTAAGGAAGTTATCCCTATTCTAGGACAGCAAGGACCGCATGAAGATATTCTGTCTTGAAACCACCCCGCCCGTGCCAAGAAAAAAGTGATCCCTGGAGGATGAGATGCTATCATGCCTCTCATCCAGGTACTCAGCAGGCAGAGGCAGGAAGATTGCACAAGCTGAGACCAGCCTGTTCAACATAACCATACAGAAAAGGAAAAAAGTTATTGTTATTGTAGTTATCCTTTACCCACACTACAACAACAACTAAGGCCCCCAGACATGTGCATATGCATTCCCTGATGGTGAGTACTTTCTTGTCTCTCTTACCTTTAGTTTTTCAATCACTAAGGGGTGTTTCCACTTTTCCACTGAGTTTTCGTTTTGAGCATAGTATTCTGCTACTTCCTTAAGACAGAGAAGGGAAAATGATTAGGGAAACTTAATACACAATAAACAATGTCATGAGTGGTGTGTGTGTGTGTGGGGGGGGTTTCCAAGGTAGGGTCATGCTATGTAGCCCAGGGTGGGCCAGAACTGGTCATCTGCATCAGTGCTGGGATTACAGCCATGTGTCACATTCTGGTTAGCAATGTTTCTTTTTAATACTAGATGTAGAATAACAAAAATTCTAAATGTTTGCTCCTGAAAAATTTATGCTGCCTCAATACTCGACAGCATAATCTCATGCCCAAGATTTAAGTATTCTGCTTCCAGTGCCATGGTACACCAATGTGCACAGAAACACTTCAACTAAAAAGGCTGGGTGAAATGTTGCCAATTAAATATCTGTTAGGTAATGCACAGTCGTTTTAAGCTTCACCCTTCAGGGTGATGGGTGCTAAGCTTGGCCTCTGGGCTGTGGAGGCTGACATAGGCTGGCTCTCAATGGGCCACACCATCAAGGCACAGGTGACAAAGGCAGGAGCTGGAAACAGCAAGGAAAGCACGGGGTCTTTCATTCCACCCAAGTTAGGAGGGTCGAGAAGTGAAACCTAAGGAAGGAACAAACAGAACAGAGGGACACAAAAATCTACCATTGCAGGTGGAGCATGGGGACAATGCCCCACACACAGCTCTCAGTTTGCACTGAAATAGAAAAAAGAAAATGTCTCACCCCGGAACCTGCCTTCACCCAAGCATGGGATGCAGATGCCAGACCTGCGCAGTTCCCAAAACTCAAGCCCAAATAAAGTTTACAATGTTCTATGACAGCAGCTGCAAGCACCTGGCAGAAAATAAAACTGGCCCCCTAGATGGACAGATGCGCTTTGTACAAAAGCTCATGTAACTCCTTAGAAAAATATTTCACCCCATTCACTACCCTGAAAAATCACTACTCTCTCTGGGAAACCTGCCATCCCAGGCAAGAATCAGCAAAAGCAGCAGGTCAACAAAAACAGTCATGCTTTCTTAAAACAAAGATAATACTCACATTCACAACACAAAATATTTGTGGTTAGTAATTCTAAGAACAAAGGAAGGAATTACAATGGGGTAGTAAAACTCACAAAGCAAACTACCCAAAGAAATAAAAACCTTAGCAACCAAGCTTAAAAAATGTCAGGAAGGTTTCTCAAAGGTTGGTGGGACCGGAAGCCCCTGGGGACCCCAGACAGATGGAGAAGGTATGCAGGTTCTAAATTACTTTGGTGAGTCTGGGCTTTGGTTTTTTAAGAGCTCTCCCGACATTTCTCACGTTCCCCAAAGTTAGATAATGGTGTCTATGGAAAGCTTAAAAATGTCTATGAACACTTAGAAAAAAAACATTGTGAGGAAGATCTAAAGAAATTACTCAGCACAAACACTCAAGAGAAGAAAAATATGAGTGAAAAAGGATATGATAAATTCACAGAGGTTGAGTTCTGATTTCCATGGCAACAATGAAGTTAGAAATCAGTGCGAGAGGATGGTGAGATGGCTGAGAGCATAAGGTGCTTGCTGCCAAGTCTGATGACCAGGGTTCAATCCCTAGAACCTGACTTCTATATGTATATACCCCTCAAGCAGCAAACAAAAGAAATTAAAGGGTGAATATCTTTACTCAGAAAAAGTAATTAACAACCTAGAATTCATGTCCCAAACAAACTGGATTTTGATTGGGGGTGGTAGTGGCACATACTTACAACCCCAGCACTCGAGAAGCTGAGGCAGGAGGATTATGAGTTTGAGGCCAGACCAAAATAATTAGGAAGACTATGTCTCAAAATATAATACCAAATTTCAAAGAATCAGGACAAAATAAAACTATCATCAATAGGCAAGGTATACTTATTCCCTCAGTAAACAAACAAACAAACAGCAGCAGCAAAAGCCCGAGCAGACTCTTAGCGAAGGCACCTGGCTCCAGAAGAAACATCTTGTTAGCATCCAGGAATACCTTGGCCTCACCCCTGGGTGGCCTGGCAGAGTGGGTCACCCCTGCACACATGGCAAGCAGTACCTTGGCTCCATGCCCAGCTGCAAAATGGTCCCTTTAAGAGCCGAGCTCTGCCTACTTCCTCTCTCTTTCTGTAGTTCCTCTTAGGAGACAGGCAGGTGTCTGTCTGTCTTGTCTCTCTTCTCTCTTCCCTCTCTCTCCCTCCCCCTTCTTTCCATCTCTCTTCTCTCTCCCATTTCTTCCTTCCCATCCCCTACTCTTTTCCCTTCCCCCAATAAAACTTCCCACATAAGTTCTGCCTGCCTGGCGTATTTGTCTTTCAATGGGATCCACCAAGGGACCTGCCAACACATCTGAGTTGCAAGAATGAACGAACGAAGAGGAATAACAACATGGGTAAATTTAAATAACACTATTCAGGCCAAACAGTAACCTCTGATTTGTACAACCAAATCAATACAATGAAAGCACTGGACGATGCTCACCTGATACTCTAGAGATGGTGTTTATAAATACTTACCGCACCTAGGCATCACTGCTTTCCTTACACTTCATCTAAGAGAATTATGGGGGTTATTGTTAAAACTTTTCATGTCTATCCTTAAGTTCCTGTGGACTATTCTTCTAACATGCACTACACTCCTCCATCCACTACCATGGTCCTCTTGGGGAAGCAAGGCTGGTCTGGAGTGCAGTTCTGTATGAGGCAGGCAGAGGCCTGCACTTTCACAGGCTCCAGGATGGAGAGCAACTTGTCACTTGTTTGTCAGGAAGTCAGTTACATCAGAAGGTTTCCTGTTTGGGGCTGCATATTATTTCTATTTCTAGGGTTGCCATAAAAAGTCAATGCTATTGTGTTGGTAATAAATATATTATGAAAGATGTTTATGATGTCCTCGTTCTGACTACCTCTTTATGATACACAATTCTGAGAAATCAAATTATGCCTGTGTTTACATGCCCCAGGAGGGCGGCTTCATCTTAAGCCATGCTGAAATGATAGGAGTAATTAATTACTCCTTTAATGAACTACTATATTTCTCCTTCCCAGAATTAACTGCCCCTAGCCCAAATCACCATGAGCTGAGCCATTCATCTGGGTCTGCCCATCTTTCTGAGTCAACTTTCCTGATTCCTTCCCTTCAGGTGCTGGCCCAAACCTAAGCACACTTTTTCTGGTACGTTGTATTTCCTTACTCAGCTCTAACGCCTTCCCCCTCCAGTGTGGCCGACTTCTATACTGTCTTGAGTGTCATGACATGGTTCTTCTCTCTGAGCAGCTGCTGAGAGTTATAACTTGACTGCCCTGGGGCGTTTTCCTTTTCACGTCTAATAAAACTGCTTCCATTTGAGCCCATTCTTAAGTCTTTTAATATTGAGACTATGAACCCCACAAGGGGCCCTCCATTTACCCATGCCATTTGGGGACCATGAAGGGACTCCCTCAAACCCTGGCAACATTATCACCATGGTCCATGTGTGCTCCTTACCCTGTGTTACATGCTTCTGTCATGTATGTGGGGTTTGGTGCTCCTCATGGATTTTCTACAGGAAGAACTGACTTGGCACATTCTTAGAGATATGGGTTATATGCTCATTTTAGGCTATCCAAGGAGTTTCCAAAGGTCACAGAAATCGTCCTGCCAACCTTATTTTTTCTCATTTTGGAAAAATACATAAAACACATAGAAAAAGTCATCAAGAATTTTAGTAGCTGGAGATACATGATGGTAGAAGGGGCAGTTGTAGTTTATGATGCAATCTTATTTTCTAGACATGACCATTTCGGCTTGGCAACCCAGTCATAATAACATTGCATAGAATTTAATGTTTTCTCTCTTTTATTTTGAGAAAAGCTATTTACTTTTCTACAGTTCCTTCCAGATGTGGATATCCTACATCTGGGGCTTAGCACTGTTCAGTTCACCCTACAGGATAAAGCATGCACATGCTGATACAAGTATTTGAATGAAGAAATAGTGCATGTTATCAGATATGGGAACATAGCTTTGAAATCTCTGCCAACACAAAGTGGCTTTCCTTATCACACAAGCTTGGGCGAACTTCTCTTTTTACAGTCCGTCTGGATTTTATTTGTTTTCACTTTTACCACGAGTTCTTTACACATGTTTTAGAAGCTGAATGGCACTGAGTTCAGAGGCACAACAGCTTTACTTTGACCCTCCTTTCCCTGCTGTAGGGTCCCTGGAACACCTGCCCATCTTGGCTTGTCTTTAGAATCATGGGCTGGTTGCAGGTACCGGCACGTTGGTAGACAGGCTTTGTTTTAGTGTGAGCATGCACGTAGGATTAGATGGACTAATAGGGGAGCTGGGATCTCCATCCAAATCCCACAAAACCAACAAAAAGCCCAACAATAGCAGGGGCTGCTCTAGCCCATCCATTCACCTTCCTGTTGAAGCTCCGGCTTCCATGAAACACATAGTGTTTGTTGTTGTTTTCAAGCCTTACATTTGGGACAACTATCACTGCTGTGTGTGGTTGAGGGATCAGCCCTAGAAAATGGGTAAGTCTTCAATCACCTTGATTTTTCTCTTCCCTTTGCTCTCCTCATCAGCCAAGCACATTTGAGGAAGGCGAATGCTGAATTCAGACTACTATCTTGAATTAAAATGGTTGTTTTCCTCTTTTGATACACAAAATTTTAATCTTAAAACTCAAACTTAAAACACAAACTATGCAATGTCACTGGATGCAAGAGGTGACAATTTTAGGATGAATACTTCAGTATTTTTGAAAAAATGATAGCTTATTCTATGCTAAATGTTCATCTCCAGATATTTACCAATTCAGCTATTCATATAACACTAATGTCCCTATAAACACATCTTACTTCCAAACGCTGCTGGGAGAATTTTGTTTTTTGGAGTTCCCCATTGGACTCTGCCAGTCCAGCTCTGGACCCTCAGAATCATAGGTAGTAGTTACAATGCAGTTAGCTGTGCGTCTTTTATTTTTTGAGACAGGATTTCTCTGTGTAGCTTTGTAGATCAGGCTAGCCCCAAACTCACAAAGATTCACCTGCTTCTGCCTCCTGAGTGCTGGGGTAAAAGGTGTGCACCACCACTACCCAGCTGAGATTAGCTGTACTTCTAAGCAGACCTGTTCACACTGAAAATGAAAACAAACAAACAAACAAAGGAAACAACAACAACAAAAAAACCCTGTGACCACACAACCTACCCAGCCCAAGGTCATGACCCTTACACCGACCCTTAGAGGGTATGGACTGGAAGCGAGCCCTCTCACTCTCCCCACAAAGACACACCCACTCCTCTCACACACGTCAAAAGCACACTCCCCTTCTCCCTTTTCCTCACAGTCTTTGCTCCCTCTTTATCTCCTGTCTCTGCAGCGGCAGCAACCCGGTCTGTCTGTCTGTCTGTCTTATTTTCAGCTGCTGCCCAGGTGTCCAGTCTGTCCTAAGGTGCCCAGTACTTTACTCAATGGATGCTGCCTCACTGCAACCCACGAACTTCAATGTAACCCCTCACAGCAGTGGCTTATGGGAAAGGAAAGGGCAGTATTTATGTGGCTTGAAATGACAGGCCAAAGGTCATGGCCATGTCTATTTGGGGAGGCGGCAGTTCTCAAACTCTCAAAGCTGAAGGTCACTGCCGCAAAGGGAACCCAGATGTAACTTTTACTCCTTATTTCTGGGCCCTCGAGGCTTGTTCCCTCTGGCCTCCCATAGATGTATGTGCATACCCCCCCGGGCACATTTTAGCTTTAAATGTCAGTAAGGCTCGGGTTTAAGGGGTGTGGAGAATGGAGGGGAGTCTGACCACCACGAGATAGGCATCGTTGATGTCCTGTCATACTCTACCTTTTCAGCAGGAAAGATGTGCTGTCTCATGAACTGCTTCACTTTAGCAAGAACTTCCTGGCCTCTCCTGGTCTGTGCAAACAACTGGTTTTTAGGGTCAACCTGTGGCAGTACAGTTCTGAAAGCTCTTGGCGAAAAGAAAGAAAGAAAGAGGATGTTACAAAGATGCCCAAAGTCAAAGTCGTTATCATGTATTTCTTAAAACAAAGTGTCAAAAACAAAAAATAAAAACAAAATAAAACAAGGTAAAGTCTCCCCAGCTTACCAAAAATAGCCTTAGGAAGAGCTACCATATCTGAGAATCTGAGAGGCTTGGGCTTATTGTTGCCCAATTCTGCTTTATTAGCTATCTGCAGCTCGAGGGAGCAAAACCAGACAGAGCCTTGCGAATGCCAGGCAATTGCTCCATTGCAGAGGTACAACCTTAGCTCCATGGACATTTCTGTTTTGTTTTGTTTATAGCATGGAGTAAAGGTAGGATTGCTTTATTCTGAACACTAAGCTTGAATGCTTAAAGAGCTACTTGGGAAAACACAGCCTTGCATGGCCTCAGTCAGTGCTAGCTTTAGTGACATTGGCTGTCACCACCACAAAGGGACAAGGAAGGTACTGCCCAAATCATGCTTGTTTCTCAGATACCACCACAGGGAATTTTAAATATAACCTTAAAAGAGAGAGAGAGAGAGAGAGAGAGAGAGAGAGAGAGAGAGAGAGAGAGAGAGAACATGTTTCAACATTATATCAGAGGTAAGTGAAGGCTTAAGAAATTTCCTGGAAAGCATTATACACACATTGTAGGAGAGACAGGAGTGTGACTGGAAAAGTGTGTTAGACTCCTCAGAAATACTGCCTCAATAGAGTCATAGTTTCAAAGACACTGTGTTAAAAAAAAGTAGTATCGCTAAATTAATAAATAATCTAATAATATCATGTACATGTAAGTAACAAATATTATAAGAACCATTTAAGTGAAGAGATGACCCCAGGCTAGCTCTTGGTTTTCTGAGACCTAGCTAATAGAGGCTGTGAAGTGACTTACCCAAAGACTCTGTTTTCCTTACCTTTTTGAGAGCTGAATTCCAGTTTCCGCCAGGGGCTGCACAGTATTGGCAGTCAGAAAGCTGTCCTCAGATGAGTTGTTTCCCAAGAGGTATCTACTATAGACTCCCTACAAATAATAAACATAGGACAATTCAAATCTATTGAAAATGGTACCTCAACTATCTAATTAGTCCTCTGAGTTTACCATCCGTATGCGGGACTAAAACCCACTGGGGCCATAGATGTCAGTCAGACCCCTGAGGCAGTAAACTTACATGAGAGGTAACTCTGTGCCTCTGAGTGAGAGTCACACTCATGTCATGAAGTTGTGACACTCTAATCTAGGCATAGGTGTAACTGATAAACCAAACTGGAAAATGACCCCAGCCACTGCCAAAACAGCCAACCTGTAAGCCGCATCATCTGTAATTAATGATCACTGTTTTCCCTTTGGAGCTATGAAAATGAATCAAACGCTAAAACCAAGGAGAAGGCAATGAGATGTGTAACAGCAGTTTTGTTCCCCGATTTGAGCAGAGCACGGTTGGCTGAGTGTCAATCAGCTCTTCAAAATTCTCCATTTCTGCGCTTCTGACGTGACACGCCCCCTTCTTCCATCTTCATCGGCGGGTTGAATGGGTTTAGAATCGCCCTGGGAACACACTTCTGGGTGTGTTTGTGAGTCCATTTCTAGAAAGAGGTGAGTGGCTCCATGCCATGGGTGGGTCCCAGCCTAAACAAGGGGAGAAGACTTTTCGGTCTTCAACACAGAAGGGCTTTAGCTTGCTTTTACCCCAAGCACTCACAGTGGCCTTTCCTCCTGCATGCGTGTCCCTATTTTGTCATTATATGTCTTCTCTCAACGCCCTTCTTGTTTGTCATACAAAAAAGTCCTGACCCATGTGAGCCTCAAACTTTCTCCCCATGGAAGTTCTTTTTGTAAATTCTAAATGTGTATGCTCCTCCTATCTCACCCTTGCCCTTCCCAGGAGCACAGTGGCCGAAGAACCAAAACAAAAGGGCTTGAACCAGAAAGCATTGCTGGCAGTCCATCAGCAAGACACGGTGAAGCACCTGCTTAAAATAATTACCTGTGCTATCCCAGCCAACTTAAAAAAAGAAAGGGCCATAAAGAAATTCCAGTTAGGAAGATCAGGGTCAATTCCCCTGCGACGGCAATATATCGAAATCAGCTCTTCCATCAATGGTATTCCTACGAAAACAGCACACAGCATAAACTTTAATATAGCACAGAAGACACAATATGGCATGCAATGCAAAGACAGTCACCACTAAGCCTGTTCTAAATACTGATACCCTAAGTAATAAATATGAAAAATTGTGTATTGCCACAGATTATGAAAAGTGAAATGCTAAGTTTAGAAAACCCGAGAGATGAATTAGAAACATTTTAAAGGAACAAAATCCTCATAAAACTGCAAGAAACTTAAGTCCTTCAGCTCTGACAGTGATAAGGGGGAGTTTGTATGAAAGGCAGCTTTGGTAGCTGCTCTTCTGTACCTGTGTTCTCTTGAATGTGAGAGCCTCCATTTATCATGGGCAGTGTCCTAGGCCAAAAGTAAAACAAGGACAGATGGGCCAAGTCGGACAAAGGGTGGCCGAAGGTCGAAAGCTCCCAGTCCAGCACCGCTATAACCCGACTCTGCAACAAGATGTACACAGGCCTTTGCCACGTTGAAATGAAGACAAACAGAATAAGGAAGCAGAAGATTCCATACATTCAACAATCACGCTTCCATCAAAATGCAACCTGAGGTCATAGTTTGTAGTTCTTTCCCACAGAGGCGTATCTCATGGAAACCAACCAGCCTCAGCTGTCTAGAGCCAAGGCCTCTGGTTCTCCTGGGGGCTGCCAAACCTCCTCTCTGCCCTGACATCTCTGCTAATAGACAGATGCAAAAAAAAAAAAAAAAAAAAAAAAAAAAAACAGCTTAAACTTCTCAACCGGAGGAGCTGTAGTAAAAAAGAAATTCTAATGATGAATTACATTTTAAGAATTGATGGATGAGCCAGCATTTGCTCTGGTGATGAATCTAACTATATAATAAATATACTGTTACAGCAATCATATTTTAGAGTAAGTCATATAAACAAACCAGGAGAGAGCTGATTCCCTCAAATTGTCTTCTGACTTACACACACACACACACACACACACACACAATGTGGCATGTGTCTGCCTTGAGCTCACCACACACAACATACGTAAATATAGTTTTAAGAAATTTTAAAGGTTGCCAAATAATCTTCAGAATTGAAATTGTGAGGGAAAATTAATAACTAAAAGATATGGGGCTCATGGCAAGAAGGGAAAACCAGAAAGAGCAAGTGCTTCTGCCAATAGATATTGATGACTCCCTGACTGGAGAGCACATTCTCCCTGCCCCCCATTATCTCAAGGCCACTGAGCCCGCCGGTCCTAGAGAAAGAAAACCCCTAACCTTGCAGGTGCACTAAACAATCCTGCCTTGTAAAAACTTTGTACTGTAACCTTGGAACAATCTCTGTAACCTTGGAAACCTTATGGGCTGAGACTAGCAGTCTCAAACCTCCCTTCCCCTTTAAAAACACTTCGCAATTGTAAGCAGGCACCTTACTCTTCTGATAGAGTGAGGTCCCAGCCGGTTCAGTTCTTAGCAATAAAAACCTATTGCTTTTGCACTCAGGAGTCACTTCCTTGGAGGTTGAGGAAACCCGGTAGGCACAACAGAAATGATATGCACCAAGATAAGAGCAATGGCTTACCTAAGGGACTGAGGTTGGCTGGGAAGTGGTAGTACACACCTTAAATCACAGTGCTTGGGAGATAGAAGCAGGCAGATCTCTGTGAGTTCAAAGCCAGCCTGGTCTGAGAGAGAGTTCCAGGACAGCCGGAGCTGTTGGACAGCAAAACCCAGTCTCAAAAAATAAAAGTAAAAAATGGGTGGGTGGGGTGGGGCCTGAGGTTGAGGGTAAAGTGCAGAGAGTGATACCTCAACTAGAGTGTTCTATACGGTGGCATGACATCATGTGGCTTGTATTCTGAAAGGGTCACTCCATATGCTATTCTATGGTAGACTGGGTGGGGGGGACTGGGACAATGACTTAGGCAAATGATCCGTTGCCAGAGAAAACAGCAATGTGAGTCAGGGTGTTCCAAGCCTCCAAGTGCCTTTGTGTATGGTTTTACTCCCTTGAGTCTTTCGATAAGCTTAGACATACCATTGAAGGGTTGTGGGCTACTGTGGCTCTGAATCACACAGATCAGATCTACATTCAAGTCAGAGTCTAGGTTACAGAGTAAAAGATACTGCCTAAAAAAAAAAAAAAAAAAAAAAAAAAAAAGTAAAAGTAAAAGGAGGAATGGGAAACAGATTATTGGTAACATGCCTGACTGGCTCAGGTTTAATCTAGAGGCACTGAAAAAAAAAAAAAAAAAGGTCTCATTTGATTAGGATATAAAGTTGTAGCCCAAGTGATATTATACAGCAAAAATAAATTAAAGGTCTAAATACTTAGTAGTCTATACTCAGGAACTGTTTTAATTCTCACACATCCTTCTAGTCTAAATATTTAAGTTAACTAAGTACTAAGGATGACAGTTTTTGAAATAACAGACTGTGGCCATTGCCCCTGCAGGGTAAAAAGTCAAATGAACTTGTTCAGGAACCACAGAGTCTGAAGAAGGAGCAATCAATTCTGCAGGATCTCAAAGGAGGTAGAAAGAGCTATTGACCTACATGGGTACGAGGCCCAGATGCGGTATACAGACATATGTTGTGGAATATTATTTTAACTGGGAAAAGAGTTGTTACATTTGTTTATGTTGCAGAATAAGACTTTAACTGTGTAAAGGTGTGTTACTTTTGTTTATGATGCATTTGTTTAACGGCTTGAGGGTGTGTGTTTAACTATGTAAAGATGTATTGCAGCTGTTTCACTTTGCCTGCCTAAGACACCTGATTGGACTAACAAAGAGCTGAATGGCTAATATCTGGGCAGGAGAGAGGATAGGCAGGGCTGTCCGGCAGAGAATGATTTGGAGAAATCTAGGTTCAAGAGGGAAGAAGGAGGAGAGAAGGAGGAGAAAATGAAGGACACAGCCCCTACAAACAATCTCCCTCTAAAGTTAAGACTCAGGGAACTATAAATCGTCATTTGTTTGGGTTCTATCCAAAGAAGCACTGTGTGTATTTACACAGAGAAAGACTAGGTTAATCTCATATAACTCTTCTGTTGAAGCCTCAAGGGGCTTCTGGGATTTCTCCTTGAGTTTATACTAAACAAATGACAAATTCTCATGACACAGGACAGAAGAACTCAAAGGAATGTAAGGGAACTAGAAAGAGCTAGAATGTAAGCAAGCTAAGGATTTTAAGTAGTAGACTTAAATCTTTTATAAGAGTGACACTCTGCAACCTCTAAGACCTTCTTAAGTGACCACTGTGATGCTGTTTAAGATTAGGACCAGCCCCAAAGGCAGACAGAGTCCTATGCTATAGAATCTGTAGGACTCGTCTCCAGAGGCTTTGAGTGGAGACAGTCTGAGCTGTGAAGAGGGACAGATTGATCTGGGCTCCTTTAGCACACGGGGGGAGGGAGGTTGTGGGGGACATCTGTTTCCTTCCAGAGTCTCAGGTCAGACCTATGCCACACATCACAAACACGATTCATGGTACCTCTTTGGGGTGGAAAACTATGTTATCCAGCTTGAAGTCTCCATGAATCAGGCACTCCTCGTTGTCATTATCTGGCAAGTTCTCCATTAGCCACTTGGAGAGTCGGTCCATGGCAGGGATGTCCTGATGGGCCGAAGCCAGGTATTGCTTTGTCCAGGTGGATACCTGAATGAGAAAGTGATAGAAGTAAAAATAGAATGTGGGAGTCAATGATTCTAAAGCAAGTTCATCTGTGCCAAAGTCCACTTTACTCCTAAACAACTAACAAACATTCCCCTGGCAGCCTGAAACACTGCTATCAGCCAAAAACCCCAAACATTAAAGTTTCTTTCCCAGCTAGTGCCATTTACCTACCTAGGCTTCTATCAGACAAGAAGTAAAAACACTGGTATAGGTATCAGGAATGGTCTTCATATAATAACTACCTCATGGAAGGATGAAATGCAGACAAGCAACACACACGCACACAGAGTTTCTCCTTGAAAAGGGGATGTGAAGGCTAGACAGAGCTTTTCCCATTTAAATCCTTTTCTACACCCAGAGAGTATTTTAAATGGATCAGTAGGGGTAGATCAGACTTTGTATTGCTCAGAGAATTAAAAGCAAGCAAACCCACCTATTCTCAGGGTCCTCTAACAAATGAGACCACATTACTCAGTTGTTCACATCTCTCCATTGCCCAGTGTGGGGAGGAACAGACTGACCAATTTAGCACAACAGAGCAAAGGCCTTCAACTTTGGGGTCTCACTATAAACCTTGGATTCCTCATCTGCAAAATGAAGAGAATGTCTATGTCCTGCGGGGTTTGCAGAGATTTAAAAAGGGGATGTCTACAGCTCATTTAGCACCCAACCCAGCACGTAGTGACTGTTCTCTCAGACTCTTCCCACCCCCACCCTCAAAGGACACACATAATGGAATGCAGCCCACACACGCCTGGTCTCACTTGTATTTGACGGCAAGAGTTACCATCTCCTTCTTAATGCTCTCTTCCTTTCCCAATAAGTTTTCCCTATCTAAGCAAAGGCATGCCAATCCCCATGCCTTGGACACACAGTTCTTGGGATGAACAATTTACTAATAGGTATTAAACTCTGGGAAATACACCATTTCTCAGCTCTGTGTATATGAGACTCATAAATGGGTTTCTCAAAAACAACCACAAGTTTCTTTAGGGCAAGAATCTACTTCTGCTTTCTTGATATTCAAAAAGAATTCCAAAAGTAAATTAAACACACAAAAGCTCAATAGGTATTTGCCTCGCACAACTCAGAGAGGCAAAAGCGAGTAGAAAATCTATTGGTAAACCAAGTGAAGAGTTGAGATAGAAGCTTCTACTGGACAGAAGTTATCTAAAAACTAAAATCAGTACAGGGCTTGCTGGCAGGCATGAGAACCTGAGCAGACTCCCCAGAACCTGCATGAAGAGAAAACAGATAAAGGGAAGGAAGAAGGAAGACAAAGCCAGCCAGGTATGGTGGTACATTCTTGGAATTCTAGCACCGAGGAGTAGAGACGGCAGGACCCCTGAAATTCACTGGCCAGCCAGACTAACCACGAAGCTCCAGGTCAACCAATGGGAGGCCTTGCCTCAAAACATAAGGTGGGTGGCTCTTGCATATGGCACCTGAGGTTGACCCCTGGCTTCCATTCCACATCCATGCACACATGCTTTCATGTATACACGCACACACGTGTACCCACTGAACACACACACAACAGCAGCAACAATAACATTTCATGCTAAAAGTACATCTGGAAATATGGCCACGGTTGATGTTAAAATGGCAAGATTTCAGAGAGCCACTCAATAACAGGGTGTACTTTGACTCGCCACTTTTAGTGCATTATTTCTAAAAGCCTGCAGCGTGCTGTAACGTAGACAGCTTACCTGTCTTTTGCAGTACCCGACTCCAATGCCATATCCATCTAGCTGCAGTGACTTTACGTTCAGTGAATGTAGCCACGCTAAGGTTTCTATTGCAGACACATATATAGCTGCACGTTCTGCTGGGCTAACTCCAGGGATTGAAAAGTCACGAAAGATGCGACCCTATCAAAGCCATCACAATGGTCAGTTGAAATAGCTGGCAAACAAAACATGCACTGTATAGAGTGTGCTGCTTCCAGGCTTTAAGCCTCTTATAAACCACATCTCTACATTTAAAACAATTTTAATTTGCTCTCAATGGTTTGTTCTTTCTATGTGGAAGAGCCCCCCCCCCACACACATATCCCCACCTTCCTGTGTGGCTACTGCCATTATAGGTAGCTCTTCACTGACACCTAGAGGGCTGTTTAAGCATACCTCATTGTGTGCACTCAAAATTGTAAGCCCTTGGAAAGGAACTGTATTAAAACGTTGAATAAACAACATTAGCTATGACTATAATAACATTCAATTAATATAATGCCATAATTAACCCCATGATTGAAAAGAAAAGCAACAACCGAATTAGACTGCTAACTTACCTGTACATGCTCCATCACATAAAATTCCGTTCCGATGACAGCAGCATTGCTGCAGTACAGTAGAGGCTTGGGGACAGGGAATCCAATGGCAGACAAGGCTTTCTGAACTTTGAATTCTCTATCAATCTAGACAGGATTATTAGAAACCAGAAACAGAAATTTTATAACCGCATGTGAGCTAATCTTAACTAAGGCTATTGGTAGAAAACTCTACCAATAAATAACCCAGAGTTGACAGTGACCATCCCCTTAGTAGGAGGCTTGTTCAGTCCTTACACTTACAAAGTAGGGCAGCTCTAAAGTGTGACGGTTTATTTGGAGTGGAAAGGATAGGCATTTGCTTGGGGCTCAATCCTGGCTCTTGCAGCGTGAGGGCAGCGGTCTGGCTGTATTTCACAGGGTTTGTTAGAGCAGCCTTCTGTTCTCAGAGGTTCCCTGCTGGCTGGCTCATCTTTCTCTTCACGATTTTCAAGAGGCTCAGGAGGGATTTTCTCTGGTCAGATATATGAGCTGGGGGAGGTGGGTGGTAGCTGTGGGAAGGAAAAGTCACCCATCCCTGCTGGGCATCAAGGGAGAAGCCTGTTTCTAAGGAGGGGCATGAAGACCCTTACAGGCACGTTGTCTGTTGTGGGGATGCAGGTAACAGTAGCGAGAACCAGGCAGCCAAAGCAGATTGGTATTAAAGCTGGAGCCCACGTAAGACAAAAAAAAGATGACATGTAGGACACACATGCAGACCCAGAAAGGGCTTATAGCAGAGCTGGGATACAAGTGAGCAAGGATGATGCATGCACTCGGAATGTGCCTTGCTCCAGAGGCAAGGGAGACTGACTAGTCCTAAGGAGGGAAAACCATTCAGCCCACCTTGACATCATGGAGTAATGCAGCCACGGAGCAGAGCAGTCACAAAAGCCAAGGTGAGAACAACCAGTGGAACCAATGGCTACTGAAAGAGGTGTGTGTGTAAGTGCCCTGGTGCCAGGAAATGAGAGGCAGGTAAAGGTCGGGGACAAAGGGGTTAGGGAATTACAGCCTGGATGGCAAAGCAGGAGCATTGCTTTGTAAAACACAGGTGGATGCGGGGAAAACGGAGGCAGTTAAGACAAGTTACTCTACACCGGTGGGGCTGGACTTAAGCCGAGGGCATGTGTTGTGCTGTGTTCTAGTGGAATTCAGTCAAGAAGAGAATCAAAGAGGATTGCTACTGAGGTACAGATTTCTAGGCATGGGTGAGGCTTTCCTTCACTCATGCCATGTTGACATTCACAAAAGTTACCCAACTTTTTTTTTTTTTTTAAAGCATCCAAGTTACTTCATGTTTTCAGGAATATGATGGAGCCAAGAAAGTCAGAATCTGTGTTCCTCAATTACTATGATATTAAGTCTACCTCAACCTCACAGTGATCTTTCCCCAGTCAATCATTAGAAATCACAGGATGGCTGGGTGCTGGTGGCATGTGTCTTTAAATCCCGGCCCTTGGGAGGCAAAGGCAGGGATCTCTGTGAGTGTGAGGCCAGCCTGCTCTACAGAGCTAGTTCCAGAACAACCAGGCCTATGCAGAGAAACCCTGTCTCAAACAAACAAACAAACGAACGAACGAACGAAGTACATCCGCTGGTCCAAACGTAACTCCCATCTCACAGTCCTTTCCTTCTTGGGACCTCTGTCTCTCTGTATAAAACGAGAGTTTGGGAGAGGAGTACTCAATCAGCCCCAAGGGGTGAGAACAATTGTTCTCCCATTTTGTAGAATGGAAAATGGGCAAAGAGAGGCTAAGACCGACTGTGCAATTCAACAGGAAATGAGATGGAGCAACTGAGGCTCCAGAAACTCGGGCTGCTACCAGGCAAGTGCAAGATTCGAGCCCAAGTGGCCTGAACAGATGGGGCCCTGTGAGCCCAGCGTCCTGCGACTTCACACCACTCTCACAGCACGATGATCAGCTCTGCCTTGTTTCTTCATCCTGGATACGTGGGATCCCTGTCCCGCGCCCCCCACCCCCAGCCCTGCAGTAGTCTTTATCTTCAACAGACCCAAAAGGGGCTTGAAGGAGCAGGGCTTTGTAGGTCAGGAGAGCGAGCAAGGCCCACTGTGCATCAGGTACGTTTCAAATCGGAGAAAAGGTTAGTGGTGCAGGAAAATGGCTGACCCCAGAGCTCTCGTGATGTGTGCCAATGCCAGATTCCTGTGGGGTTTGTCTAAACAGGCTGTAAGCAGTGGCTGCTCCCTGACTCCATCTACCCAAGCTCCGCAGCCCACCCCACCCCCCAGGCTTTGGACCCAGGGTGCACCAGGATGACCTCTGCTCAGCCTCACCCCCAGGGTCTTCCTACGAGTCTGTATAATATGGGTGCTCTGATAGGAAAAATTCGCTAGATATCCATGCGGACAAAGATCAGCGGCTTGCAGAACACACACCTTCCTTCTTACCTTCCCTCCTCCACACATCCACCTTCCCTTCCTTCCTGTGCGATACTAGGAATGAACCGAAGAACTCACACTTGCACATGCCAGACAAAAGCTCTACTACTAAGCTATAACCTCAACTCTTCCTTACGTTATTTGACGTATACAAAATAAAGTATCTTATGTAAATAAAGCACATGAGTACAGTGCCATCTACACACACAGAACACTTAGAATGTTCTCCAATACTTGGATCTATGTCCTCTTGTCTTCTCTAACTATCCCAAGGTAATTCCTGTTTTTGAAGCCCACAGGAGACCTGGTGGTGTTCAGAATGACGGTTTAAACACAGCTTTAGATTTCCTGCTTTTTCAAACAAAAGGGTGTGCAACTGAAGAGAATATTTAGCTAAAAGAGAAGTGCGTTTCCACTAGCAGTAATGGCGAGAAGACTTCCCAGTGCAGCTTGAATGGCCTTCGTGGTTTTCAGGGACAGCAACCTGTATTGGCAGAACTACTCGCTGTGTGTCTGTACCATACCTTATGTGCCTTGGGAAGAAGAGAGCCCGGTGGTTTCTTCCTCAGAACATAGGCTTGAGATCCTTTCTGGAGGAAAAAGGTTGGATTGGACTGTCCAGATCTGGAGAAAAAAAAGGTTTATTAAAGCTCAATTATAAACATGTCTGCTTCTTCCTGAAATCCTAATGAAATGTCAGAAAAGATAAGAACCAAAATAAATGTATCTCAATGCTGGGGTGACCACAGGGGTGCCTCCAGCAGCTCATGGAGGACAAGTTCATGGTGATACTAAATAGATGGCAGCCTGCTGGCAGCTGAGGATTCTACAAACATAACATTAGAAATGCTTTCTCCAGTTCTAACAAAGACAAAAGGGAGTAAACAAACACAGAAGCCCCTGCTGCATTGAGGGACAACACAGCACTGGCTAAATCTTCCCACTCCACTCAGTGGGACCCAGCAGTGGGAAAACACTGATGGGCTCGGCACACAAACCACTTAGTTAATAGTCATGATGGTTAAGAACTTGAACAAGACATCTGGTGCTAAAGAAATTGCTGAAGTCTGTTGTGAGAGATGGTACTCTGACTATTGATAAAGACTGAATTCTCTGGCTAGGTGGGCAGCTAGGGATGGGTTATTTTGGTAAGATCCTGGCTATCCATCAATACCACAAGACCCTAATATACCATCCTTTGTCTCTTTGAAACAAAGATAAGAAATAGCATATAGACAGGAGATAATCAGATGACTTTCTTTAGAGTCCTTGTAGCAACCCATCAGAAATGTAGGGCTTGTTCTACATCTCCTGTACCCCTGCAGTGACAGGTTGGGTATAACGCATGAGTATGTGGGTCCTACCTGGTTGAGAAGCCTGGCAGAGTTCATACATGCCAACAAAACAAAACAGTACAGACTAGGTAGTTTATAAATTGCAAACACTTACTTCTCATGGTTCTACAGTCTGAGACATCCAAGGCCAAGGGCCAGTAGACTTGGTGTGTAGTGATGACCTGCATCCTTATAAATGGTGTCTCTCATTATATCCACACACAGAAAGGGACAAGGCAGATCTTGAGGAGGGGAGGAAGCCAAGCAAGGGCACACTGCTAGACCAAGTTATTTAGTGGGTAGCTTCAGCCTGACCTGTGAGTGTAATGTGAGGGCTGGACATGGAGTGAACGCTAGAGAGTTCTCTACCTGAAAGTCATTTTCTCTCTGAAGCAAGCATGGTGCAGATGTTATTCTCCTGAAACTGGCTAAGTATCATCTTGGATGCAGCACCATTTAGGCCAAAAGAGGCTCTGACAGTCCCCAGGGATAGTTCCTCAAAAGGGTAATGGGGGGGGGGTGTGAGACGGCTCAGTGGGGAGGTGCATGCCACCAAGCCTGACCACCTGAGTTCCATTCCTGGGACCCACATAGTGAGAGGACAGAACCAACCCCTTCTGACCTCTGTATGTGCACAGCATTGTATGTGAGCACATGCTCACACGATACAAAGTAATTATAAGAGTGATGGGACTTGCCACTAGAGACCTGGTAAAGCAGGGTGTGTCTAGAAACAAACATAGCTGGGAAAGCATTGACATCTACTGAAATAAGCCCACTCTTCAAATTCATGATCACAAACCTCAAAGGGAACCCCATATGGCAGCCATATTTCTTCAGCCCACTAACTTCATTTCTCTTCTCCTCTGACCCCTCTCTCTTCCACGTTCTTTCATCACTAATCACCCAGTGTCATATTTGAATGAGAAAATAGGAACAATCAGATGTGAACTTGCACAAGCTTACACCACTTGGCTGTAGCAGGGTCTTCTGGACCCACACCGACTTCCTTTCAACATTTACATAAACATCCCACCCTATTGATGGACAACCCCATTTTTTTTTTGAATTAGATTACAAATAATTCTTGTCTTCTCAAGGTCTTTGCATTAGACTCTTCTCTTGCACAAATTCTTAATCACTGGTTGTTTGGTTATTTCCGAAGCCTCTTCTTGGTCCCTCTTCGCCCTCCACTGCAATTCTCTTCCTCAAAGTCTGTCTTGAACTCACTTCAATCAAGCTTTCTTCCCTCTTTCCACTAATGCAGCCTTTTCAAGGTCACTAGTGCAATCCCTGACTCTCTTCTACCCTCTAGCCACGCCTCCTCAAACTCCTCTGCAGCCTCCTTCTAACTCTTCAGCTTCTGTACCACTGGGGTGCTGTGGCTGAATCCCCAAATGCCCATTTTGTTTAGATTTTTTCTAGGTGAGCCTTGCTGCTCGTGACTTCCAGTGCCTTCTCTGTCAACTGTTCTCACCTATTTTACTCCAACCACACTTCTGTGCCTTAAGTACCTCTGCTGGAACTTTGTAACACACTAGCTACCTTTGCCCTCTTCAGTGAACTCCCAACACAGCAAGCAGAGTTTCTGTTAAAAAAAAAAACAATGATGATGGCAAATTATTTACTCCTCTACTCAAATATCTCTAATCCTTCCCACTTCAACTTGAAGCAAAAGGCAAAGTCCTTATGACTATCAACAGGTCTCCTGTTGCCCCTGCTTATGGGACTTAGCTCTCACTGGTCTGTATTCCTCAGCATATGAGGCACGCTCCCATCTCTGGCCTTTGCTTCAGTGGTCCACCATGCCTGGATAGCTTCCATGGCCTCAACCCCCCCAATGGTAGGCATACATTAAGCATGAGGCTAATGTTTTATTGTGTCAAGCTGTATGTTTACATTGTTGTTTAATTATATTTTATATTCCCAAAATGACCTAATATTTGAAAGTTAAAATTTTTGCATAACTAACAAGAATGTTTACAAAGTCTAGAATGCTCAGCATAACTACAGCAGACAAATGCCACATTGTATCTTGAAGAAATTACCAGATCATTGAATAACTCTGTCTTGAATTTTGAACTTATTGTTCTCTTGAAGTTTTATCTCCTTAAGTAACATGCTCTATATTTGTCCCTAGTTTTTATATGTGTTATGTACAGCTGTGGTTGAATCATTGTCACTGTTGTATGGAGTCCACCATATAAATGAGCAATTTATTCTTCCACTCTATTGCTAATATTACTGTTTTGAAGTGTTTTCTATTACAAGCAACATGATGAATATTTTGTAGATGATTTCCTGATAACCTGGTATAAAATTTTCTTGACCCTAAGAAATAATATTTCTGGGGCAAGGGGCATGTATATCTTTTTTACCTGTTTTACAGGATCATGTCAAGTGTGGGTAATGGAAGTTATACTGACTCATACTTTAATGTCTCATAGCCTAAGCAATTCACAAATTCTCGATATATACATATATAAGTATATGTTACATGTACATGATGTGTGTGAACATGTATGCCACAATATGCATAAGGAGGTCAGAGGATAATTTTGTGAAGTTGTTTAAGGGTAACTTTGAACTTCTAATCTTATTGCCTCTATCTCCAAGTGCTAGACTTACAGGTATGCACCACAGACAATTCCTGGTTTATGTGGCACTGGGGATTGAACCTCTAGTTTCTTGCATGCTAGGGGGTCACTCTATTTACTGAGGCAGACCCACAGCCTGAGTGGTTGTTCTTTTACAGACAGTAATATTTCATAGGGATAAGAATTATCCCACCACAAGCTCTTGAAAAGTCTTTTTTCCTATGGGTCTTCACATTTCTCCCAAGCTGATTCTAAGTGTCAGCCCTGTCACATAGCTTCTATAAACATGTAGGTCTTTTATGAGCTCTCTATCTCAATGACATATTTAATTGCTTGTGTGCTAATAACATGCCACTGTTTTCCCTTTACAAATGTTTCTGTTAAACCCGTAGGCCTTTCACATAAAATTCAGAAGTGTTTTTTTCAAGTTAGAGAAAAAAATAAGATTTTGACTGACATTGCCTTGAATCTGCTGGGACAAAAGAAAAATTTACAGTATGGAATTTTCCTGCTCATATGTGTTATTTCTAAGGTTCTTTAAAAATTCCTAATAAGGTTTTGTTTTGTCATGTCTCATACAAAGGTCTTGCATACCTATTAGACTGGTGTTTAGGTAATTGGATTTAAAAAAATGTTATCAGAGCTTTTTGAATGTCATATTTTGACTGTTGCTAGGATATAGAAATGCAAGTGGTGTGTATACTTATCTTAACAAACTATTACCATGTAGCTCATTGGCTCACCAACGCATGAACCGGTGTGGTGTTTGTTTGCTGTTCTTGTCCTGTTAAAAAAAGTTTGCACTTACATTGTGAAAATGTGTGGTTTTTCTTTGTCTATTTATTTATGGGGGCATGTGTGGAGGTCAGAGGACAACTTTCAGAATCTGTTCTTTCCTTCTAAAAAGTGGTTTCCAAGGACTGACCTCAGGGCAGCAGGTGCTTTTACCTAATAAGCCATCTCACTGGCCCAGAGTTTAATTAAAGATTTTTTGGTACTTTTGTGGCCTAGTATGTTTTTAATTATTATAATTGTTTCATCTGTCCAGGAAATGAATGTGTCTTCTCTGTTGAATCCGTACTTCCATACACGTGTGTTACATCAAGCTTATAGAACATTTCTGGAAAAATAGTTTTTGAGGCTAGGGATTGCTACATAATCCAGCTGGCCTCAAACTCACAATCAATCTCCTTCAGCCTCTAAGTGTTGGGATTAAAGCCATGTAACACCAGCTTGGATTCAGAAATAATTTCTGTATCACAACTAATTTCATTTGTTGAGCACGATTTTGGTGAACATCAACTTAATTCAGAATTATTTTTAAATCAACATAGGACCACATTAGCCTGAGGATATGTATGTATGTATGTATATAACCTTTGTCCAAAAGCAGGATGGAAAGCTCAAATGGCTGGCCAAATTCCACTGGCATTTGAACTTTGATCTGTTTTAGTCTGTTTACATCACAAAACATTATTTTTCAGAAGTGTAATACTTTATCTCCACCCAGATATTTCAATGCTTACGCCCTTTCACCCACATTATTTTGTTTCCTTATCAAGACTAATGGGAAAGACCAATGTTACAAGAAAGAAACTTTGGTCTCAGAATTTATGTTCCACTTAAATCCCCAGATAGAAAGTCCCAACACAGTTTACTGGGACCATATAAAACCATGTAAAATGGTTTTATACTGCAACCATATAAAAATGAAAAACTGTTGCAAATCGTCAGATTCACTTGTGGGCGGAGACAGGTACTCTCAGGGTCATCTCATCCAGGTTAATTTCCTTGCTTCAAAAACTTGGACCTAAAGTGGTGTTTAATATGGCTAAGTGGAAAGGCTTGAATCTGAATTTGTATACTTCGGGTGGTGTTATTAATCTAGCTGCAGGTGACTAACGTCAATTAAACAAAACGCCACCAGTCCTTGATTGTAGTACAAAAGGTCATAGAAGGCATTTATTTCTCCAAAAGCGACCAGGTTCATCCATCTCAGTGAATCAGGCAAATGATTTTAGTACTTAACAAGATTGCATTGCATAAGGGACACTGCACTTCTACTACTGCCCTCTAATACAAACTAGCCCGGGGTTCAAGGACTAGCCATACAGGAAGCGCCCTTGCGTGGAAACAAATCGCGAATGGCAACTGAGAAACCTACGCAGGGCCAAAGGAAGAAAAGCGCCAAGCACAGACTTGCTCCAGCTGGAGGTGAAGACTATGATAGATACCTGTATTGAGTTACGGTCAGCACAGCCCGGGGAACTGCCCCAAAGCCAGGCAAATGCTGGTTCAGGTAGGTCTCCAGGGACCTGACGTCGAACTTGTGCTGGGGTAGCACTTCCACGGTGTCACTGGTGACATTCCTGTCCATGATTGCCACTGCAGTCACAGGATACAGAGGCGAAGAAGCCACAGAAAACACAGAGGTTGCACGGAGGTAGAAGCTTGGAGCTTGGGGGCGTGGCCAAGGCGGGGCTTAGCGGAAGCCAATCACCGGGACTGTGGGAGGCGTTGCTAAGCAGTGTGGACCGTTGAGTGTAGTGACTTGGGGGTCTGACGGAGAAATGAAGGAAGCGCCTGCTGTAGCCCCAATTTAGGATTTTTCTATCAGCGTCAGAGCTGGAGGTCCCGATTTCAATAGAAAAACAAGGTCACAAACGTCACTCGGGCAAAGTGAAGACACAGAGACCTTCCACCCTAGTGTCAATCACGCAGCAGGCGGAAGGCCTGTGAAGTCCGGTTAAGAAGAGAGTCCGCCGGGGCCGTGGGTCCGGGAGGAAAAGATCTCGGTGTTCCTCATGGCCTCCTAGGTTAGAAAGGCAGAGTCGCTTGTCGGCCTGACCTAGACACACGTGACGCTGGCCCTGCTGCGACCCGGTTTAGCGGTTCCAGGGAACTGTTTTGAGGAGTGTTTGGCCGAGGGGAGCCATGGCGGCGGCGTACAGGAAGTGGCGCGCCGGAAGGCCGGCGGGCGTGGCGGAGACGTGTCTAACTGGGGTGCCTGGAGGCTCTTCCTCGGGTGTCAGGATCCGGAAGGCTGTCCCTGGTCTACCTGCATTCGTGCGTCCATCGCAGCAGCGTGGGGCGGCGGCGGCGGAGGCCCAGGCTGGGAGCGGCGGCCGCTGGGGGCCCAGCCATGGCCGAGTCGGTGGAGCGGCTGCGGCAGCGGGTTGAGGAGCTGGAACAAGAACTTGCCCGGGAGAGAAGCCGGCACGTCGTGGGCGGCCGGACACGCATCGAGAAGATGAGCTCCGAGGTGGTGGACTCCAATCCCTACAGGTGATCCTTTCTTGCTGTGGAGGCCCTATTCCTAGATAGGCAAGGCCACGTCTTAGTGCCAGTCGGAAGATAATCCTTGCTGAGCGTAGTGGCTCACGATCGATCCCAGCATTCGGTAAGGTGAGGTGGGGGATTATCGTGAGTGCCAAGCCAGCCTGGGCTACATAATGAGTTTTAAACCAGCTTGGGCTATGCAATGAAGACCCCTTCCACCTGCAAAGAGGAAAAAAATAACATTTAATTTTATAAAAAATCCAGGCCAGGCATCCATATGGTGCAGCTCTTGTGCCCGCTGTCCTGTGCCCAGTTTCCTGTTTCCCTTGTCCTTTATTTAGTCTGCCTTGCAGTAAACTCTTGTCAGAACATAACATCTCACGTGAAGCTGAGAGAGAGAGAGAGCACAGTTTCCGAAAGGCCTTTCTGTGTAACTTAGATGAAGCAGGGCAAGGGAGAGTTAGTGACTGGGGGGCTCAGCAGCATCTCTGGCTATTGACTTTGCTAGGCCTGCTTACGCCTGTCCTTTGCTCTCCCTAAAAGGACTTAGTAATTTAGGAGGGGGAATACAGAGCTGTGGTTAAGGGAACACCTCTGCACCAAAGCTGAGTGAATTTGTTTCTCAGCTTACTAAATAGCCAGTAACTTCTGACAGCTGCTGAGCTGCTTAAGAGTTCCACCTGTAAAGTGGGGCCACAGGGATGCCCATTTCTGTCATAGTTAAGAAGGCGGAAGCAGTCAGTTCATGAGAAGTGGTTAAAACAAGACTTAAAACAAGATTGCATTTAGTAGCATGCAGTTAGGCCTTTCAGTTACCTGTTTTTCTTCTCATCACAGCCCTATGGGATTGCTATTTCGATCTTATTCTGTAGGTGAAAAAAGTGAGTGCTAGACAGCTACGTTAGATAGATTAGGGTAAACCACACAAGCTGAGGGGCATTAGGTTTGTCCCCAATAAGTCAGAAAGTAAGTAGTGTGGATAAAAACTGGGTGGTTTTAACATAGGTGAAGTTCCAGAAAGAGAGCAATGGTTGACGTGTGCTGTGGTTCTAGAGACACTCAGATGATGACGCTGGAAACCCCTGCGGGGGAATGTGTGTTGAGGAGCTTTAGAGGACTACTGGAGTTAGGTGGGTCTAGAGACACTCAGATGATGACGCTGGAAACCCCTGCAGGGGAATGTGTGTTGAGGAGCTTTAGAGGACTACTGGAGTTATGTCAGCTAAGTGAAAGCATGAGGAGAATAGAGGCATAAGGAAGCCGCAGTTGCTGCCTTGAGGGATGGAGATTATGGAGGAAAGGGAAAGTTCTAAAACCCCCATCCAGCAGTGAACAGTTATCTAACCAAAGCGGCCAAGGCTACTGGGGTGGGAAGTGTTTGTGCAGCAGTAATGGACATTTACAAGTGAGTGCTTCGGAAGACTGAAAAGCAGAAGTGAAAACTCTGCAGTAGTTTGCATTTGTAGGTCCGATCACATAGAGGTGAAAGTGGGAAGAAAGGGGCAGCCCAGTGGACTGCAGACTTTCCTACCAACCCTGGATCCACGTGTGCCTTAAAGAAGAAACCAATGAAAAATAATACATTTCTGTACGTGTGTGTATATGCATATGCAGTACACACACACTCTCATTCACTCTTAGGTAGTAGAACAGATGAGCAGTAGCTGAAGTGCTTAGAGTCCTTGGGATACAACAGATGCTTCCAGAAGTTGACATCATCCATTGACAGAGAACTTGAGTTTATTTTATTTTCTTTATATACTAATACAGCATGGGAAAATAATGACACTTCTCTTTGGCCCTTAACATTTAAGCCATTAGGTGTAGATCTTAGCTGCACATTAGGATAAAGGAAGTTCTTTAGAAGAAAAATGTTTCACAGGCTACACTCAGGAAAGTCCATGTTCTTAAACCTACCCAGTGATTTAATCTTACCTAGTAAAAGTTAGCTTTTAAGGTCAGTAGGTTGTCAGATTTGCTGTGTACCCCAGACTGGTCTTGAACTCCTAATCCTCCTGCCTCAGCCTCTAGCATGCTAGGATTACAGATGCCTGCCACTATGTCCAGATAGATTCCTCCTCTTTAGAAACACTAATAATGCAATTTTGGTGATTGTTTTCTTTGACGGCACATGTCTGTAAATACCATTGTTAAGATTACAAGTTTGGGGCTGGAGAGATGGCTCAGTGGTTAAGAGCACTGACTGCTCTTCCACAGGACCCAGGTTTGATCCCCAGCACCCACATAGGAATTCGCCATCCATAACTCTAGTCCCAGGGGATCTGACACCCTCTTCTGGCCTCTGCAGGCACTGCATGTACCTTCAGTACTGCCTGTATAAGCACACATACAGGCAAACCACCCATGCACATAAAAAATAAAAATCAAAAAGACTGCAAAAACTCTGAAGCTTTTTTTTTTTTTTTCCTTTTTAAGCCGCCTGATGGCTTTGAAACGGATGGGAATTGTCAGTGACTATGAGGTATGATGACCCTTGCCAAGCTTCTGAACTTGATTTCAGTAAATGAGAAGAGTTTTTGGTGACCAAGCAAATGAAGAGTAGTAACCAGCACGCGTATCATTGTGTTTCACAGAGAATCCGTGCTTACACTGTTGCAGTCGTAGGTGTTGGTGGAGTTGGTAGTGTGACTGCTGAAATGCTGACAAGATGTGGCATTGGTAAGGTAAAAAGATTTCTCTTTGCCTGTCCAATAGGGAAATGTTCACTCCCGCAGCAAATCAGGTACAGATTAGCACTCTTCTGATCAAGCACTGGTTTATTGATTTCTGTGGTATTGATGGAAATTGCTCTTCTCAAGAGGCTGAGTTATATCCCTCTCCTAACAAAGGCTCATGTTATTGCCAGTTAAACAAAGGGTATTTAATTGTGTTCAGGAACTTTTGTTTAGGGTCGTGTAATGTGTAAGTAATTTGGAATTATTTTTAGATACAGAACCTGTGAGACACTTAGATACAGAACCTGGTTCTGGGGTGCCCCCCCCCCCCAGGAAAAGACCACATAGATTTAATTTTAGCAAGGTAAAAATTTGCTTCTACAGGAGGGTGCATAGCCATGCCAAATCAAGCAGGCAAGATACCCAGTAGGGGTTCTGGTAAGTTTTTTATTCCCAATATAAGGGTCCCTATGCCTCATTTTTGGTGTAAGAGTTCAGCCCCACACTCCTGCATAGTTGGCTAATTCCAAATAGCCCAAGTCCAACTTGTGGGAACAGGATACAGCCTTGAGCATATATTTTGATTTCCAGAAGTGCTGACCCTGGAAGATTTAAACTTCTGCCAAATGACTAAAGTATTGTTTCTTAAGTTATTATTATTTTGTTATTTATTCTTCTCTCATATAATACAACCTGACTGCATCCTCAACTCCTTTTACTCCTCCAAGTCCCCCCACAACAGTGTTTTAAAAATAGAGTTTTGTCTTATTAACCCTTTAATACAAAAGACAGTAGTACATTTAAATGGCACTCAGATCCTGAAAATCTTATTATGTGATCAATTAAACCACACAGAGAATGGATAGCTTTTACTTTGAACTAGGGGATGTTTTATATTTTTTTATTTAACCCATTTTGGTTTTTTTCCAGAATTTAATCTGTCAATTTCAGGTTTATTAAAGCCAGGACTATTGATATTAGTGGTTGAATAGATAAGTTTCCACAGTTATCTGCCCTGTTATTTTCATAAAACATACAGTCTTCAATATCATTTGTCAGTAAGTTAATATTAAAAGTTAGAGGTTGCAAAATTGGCCCTCATTTAGCAATATAAAAATGATGCCAACAAAATACTTAAAATGCTTATTACAATTTTAGTATCTTTGAAGTGGTTTACAGAAGCAGGTCAAATATTGCTTGCTGATGACTTGAGTACCTGTTGACAGAATATAGGAGATGCTTGAGATGAGTAAAAGTTGAGTATGTGGCCATATTAAAACAGACTGCCAGACCCCGGTTATGTGCCTTGCTCTCCTGGGCATTTGCTAGGAAGGAAGACTTAATCTGCAGAGCATACAACTGAATCAGAATCTGTCTTTTAGTGGACTCTGCATATTTATGTTGGTGAAGTGCTTTTTGCCCAAACTAACAATTTCAGGTGATGCAGATGCTGCTAGGTGAGGCCTCAGCAGTCATTCTCAAGGACTACTGTAATTAGAATCACCTGGGAAGACATGGCCAGTTCTCATGTCCAGTTACACCCATGATAGTTAACTAGAATTCTGACAGTGAGATGCAGACTCCTTTATTTTCAGTAACTCTTCCAGTGATCCCACTTTATACCCAGGTTTATAAGACTATAAACAGATAATTTTCAGGAATTCTTCTGTCTGTAAAATAGATAAGCAAGAAGCTAATTAGTGGAGAAATGGTGCCTAGGAGACCCAGAACCCGTTTCTTGTCTCTGCAAATAGCTGCAGCTCCCTGGATCACCAAGTCTTTGTCAGTGGCTTTGCTTTCCAGATATATGGCAGGCCAGAAAGTCGTCATCATTTCCTGTGACCGAAGCCAAGCTGCAGTGTTACAACGTCCACTTTTCAGAAAGCCAACTAACTAGGAGTCACAACTCCAACTTAATACTCTGTCCCACTTAGTGAATATTATTGAATGAGCCATGGTTTAGGGACTTGGCGTGATAAAGGGCTTAAGTGGCATCGTTGCCATCAAGATACTAAAGGTTTCGCTAGGTATATATATATATATATATATATATTTTTTTTTTTTTGTTTGTTTGTTTTTTTTTGTTTCTTTGTTACTGTAGCTCCTGTATTGAGAAGAATAAAATTAGGTCTGGGGATGTAGCTTTGTGGTAGAGCAGTTACCTACCATGGATTAGGTCCCAGGTTCAATCCCCGGCACTTCAAAAAGAAAAAGAAAAAGAGACTAAAATCTCCTTTTTCTAGATTCATAAGTCCTGTTCTTACTGGTAAGAAATGTGATCTGCACATTTTAAGTGATCTACGCATTTTAAGTGATCTGCGCATTTTAAGTGATGTGTGTACAATAGCAAACACTGAAGTAGGACCTAAGAATAAAGTGGGAGATATAATTAACTGCTTGACAATTCTCTTTGGAGTAATGATTTGTAGCCCCAGCTTAGTCATCTGGTGTGTCATACCAAGGGAGTCAAGGAAAAAAAGGGAATTATATAAGATCTTGCAGAATTTTTAAAATGCTTGTGTGAAGTGGAACGGACTTCCCTTTCTCACTGAGGCAGTCTGCGCTGGTCTATAGAAGCCATGCACAGCATTGGGTTAGGGGAGAGCTGCACCCAGAGTCCTGCATTAGCTGAGTGCCTGCTGTTCAGCAAGGCTCAGGAGAGGAGCTGCGCATTTACCTCCCAGGACAGTCAGGGAATTAAGACACCAGGTTCCGTAGAATTAACTGTTACTGTGCCACTGACGTTAAGCCTGTCAATCAGAAAACCCACTAGTTTAAAGTCATCTTTCACTGAAATACCGCTGTTTTCATTTTAGTTACTGCTCTTTGACTATGACAAGGTGGAACTGGCCAACATGAATCGACTTTTCTTCCAGCCTCATCAGGCAGGACTGAGTAAAGTTCAAGCAGCAGAGCACACCTTGAGGTAACTGCACTTGTGGCAGAGGGCCACATGCACTGGGGTCTTGTTTTGTACCTACTATGAGCTAAGCTAAGTAGAAATGGATTTGGATTTTTCTCTATGAAAAGCATATGTCACTTATGCAAAGAACTCTCTTACTTCTTTACCTGGGTTTGTGTAGGGCTAAAGTGTGCATATTTTCAACTTTGCTGCCACTGTTTAACTGTGGAGGCACAGTGTGAGATTAGCCACAGACAGCACCAACGTGATTGAGTGCACATGCCTTTGTTCCAATAAAACTTGAGTTTTAGACTTTGAAATCTGAATTCTATTTTCATGTCATGAAATACTCTGAAAAAGATTTTCCCTCAACAACTAAGAATTGTTCTTAGTGATGTGTGATGGTACATGCTGCAAATCCCAGCACATAGGAATTTAGGCACATGTGAAGAGTATCCCAAATTTGAGGTCAGCCTGTACTGCACAGCAAGTACTGGGCTAACCAGGGCTGCAGGGCATAGACTTAGAACCAAACCCAAACCAGGTAATTCTTACCTTAAAGGCCAAACCAGAATGGATACTGGGCTATATTGGGTTCACAGGCTGTTAATTTGCCCACCCCAAACATTCTTGGACTAAACTTAATCAGGCTGTACTGGGACTCCAGCAGCACTGAAGGCTTTATTCCCAGCATGCAGGTGCTCTGTGTTACTATGGAAGCATTCTTGAAATCTTAGGCGAGTCCACACTAGGTGTCCAGAGTTGACCTTGCAGAAGGACATAGTCATCGAGTGCAGTGTTGGGCAGCTGCAGCAGCAGTGTGTGCACTGAGGGTTGGACACAGGTGACCTGTGTGTTCTCATCCTTGAAGTGCAGTAATGGCAGCCGAGGAAGACTTGGGATCTTCAGACCCATTGAAAAATAAATCCTCCTTCAGCCTTCTCCTTTCTGCTTCTCTGTCCTTTTTTTTTTTTTTTAAACAGATTTTTGCCTCAAGTTTATTTGTAAGAAAATAGCATAGGGCACTGGTCATCTGCAGATAGTGTGTAGATATGTTACACCAGTCCATCTGTCTTTACCTTTTCTATCCTTCCATCCTCTTCTTACTAGGAGGGTTGGTAACATTTGCTTTTCCCTCTTAGGAACATTAACCCTGATGTGGTATTTGAAGTTCACAACTACAATATCACCACAGTGGAACACTTTGAACATTTCATGAATAGAATAAGGTAAAATTTATGAATATTTTGTGTAATGTCCTGATGTCTAGCTCAGTTAAACAAGTGCTAGAAAATCTATTGACAAATTTTTCAGCTTTTAGGAAAAGTAGTTTTTTGTGTGATGTTTATGTATTAGAATGTAGTCTACACACCAACATATATATGTTCCAGAAATAAAATTGGGGGAAAAATCCCTCTGAAAATTACAACGATTCGACAGAGGCCCTCAGGTTTATGTTCTATGCTCTAGACAGTACTTTATGCCTGAAACCTTTTCTTCAGCCTGCCAGGACTCCTCAGTAATTTTATTCTATGAGCTTTATGAAGTGTATATTTGCAGGAAAGCTCAAACAAGGCAGTGACACTTGCTGAGCTCAGTGGCACTGGCCTGAATTCCAGCACCAGTTCGAGGTTAGTCTGGGCAACATAGACCCTTTCTCAAAACAATAAAAAAATAAAAAATAGACTGTGTATCTCACAGTTGGGGCCTTTACTTGTCATGCTTGAGGCCCTGGCTTCTATCCCTACAGGGCTAAAGAACCAAACCAGAGTAAATGTCTTTGAGAGACCATAGGGTGAGGACAGCCCTGTGACAGACTTCGTGTTTCCTTTGCTAGTATGGAATCATTAATTCTCCATTCAGGAAGTGGCTTAACACTTTATATGAGGTCATTAACATTAAACACTATGTTATAGCTGTGTTCAAACATTTAATGAACGAAAACTGACTGCACAAATAAAATCCAGTTTCAGTGTGTTCTGTGTCTCGCTGGGTGTGGTGGTGAACACCTGTAAATCCTACACTTGGGAGGCTGAACCAGGAAGGCACAAGCTTGAGATCTGCTTCAAGAAACAGTGGGGCATTTATGTGGGCCGTGGGATTTGGGTTTGCTTTTGGTTGTTTATTTTGAGGTGGAATCTCATACTGTCTGGGGTTCTGCTTCAGTCTCATGTGCTAGGACTACAGGTGTCAGCCACCAAGCCTTAGGACAGAAGAAATGTCCTAAGAAATGTATTTACAATGAGGATACAAAGTAAATACAGTTTACTTTCCTTCTCCAGTAATGGTGGATTAGAAGAAGGAAAACCTGTTGACCTGGTTCTCAGCTGTGTGGACAACTTTGAAGCTCGAATGGCAATAAACACAGTGAGTGTTGTGTAGGGGTTGCAGCCCTGGGTCTAACCTGGTGTTCTAGTTAGAAATAGTTATAAGTTTAAACTCTATTTTCACAGCCTGCTTTTAAAATGTGTGATAAGAGCGTTTGGCTTCACTGTGGCATGTTACAGTGTCTCACTCTCTTACAGATAAGGTAGCAGACATTTCCAATGTGTGGTTTTAATGTAAAGGAATATATTATGATAGTCACCATTAAGTTTTCATTACATTCATTACATTACACTCATTTACTCTGTGTGTGTGTATGCATGTATGCATGCATGCTTATACTACCATATATCCCTGTGGAGGTCAGAGGGCAACTTGCAGGAGTTGGTTCTCTCAGTGGGATGAGACCATGTGGGATCTAGGGACTGAATTCAGGTCATCAGCTTTGGTGGCAAGCATCTTTACTGACTAAGCCATCTTGCTAACTCACCATTGGTTTTAACTTTTTGTCTTACTAGGATTAAATATATAAATTGAAAACATTTCCCCAAAATAAAATACAGTTCTTTCAAAGATTCTTATGATTTTTGAATTGCTGAAGTTTTAGACAAGTAAGTTTTTATATTAATTTGAAGAAATCTAGGAGGCGGTGGTTTGATATTACTCAACTATTGCAGCTCTTCTCTCTGACCCCAGAGCCCTCAGAATCCATTTAGATGACACCTGATACTCCGCAAAGGAGGTTGGCAGTAATTTTCGCTGCTTTGTGTTTTCACTTTTTCCTGTGCAGGCTTGTAATGAACTTGGTCAGACGTGGATGGAGTCTGGGGTCAGTGAAAATGCAGTGTCCGGGCACATCCAGCTCATGATCCCTGGAGAGTCGGCTTGTTTTGCGGTAGGCATTGTCTTGGCTCACTGTCACTGTTGGGTATCAGTGATCTCCGGTAATTGATGTCTACAATTTGGAACATTTCCGTTGCTCTAATCTGTTTGAAACTGGTGTATTCTCTTTCATGTAGTGTGCGCCTCCACTTGTGGTTGCTTCAAATATTGATGAAAAAACCCTGAAACGAGAGGGCGTCTGCGCGGCCAGTCTCCCCACCACCATGGGAGTGGTTGCTGGCATCTTGGTACAAAACGTATTAAAGTAAGTGAGGGCTGATTTTTCTGACTGGTTTTGTATGCTTTCGATTAAAATGTATTTCTAAGAATTGATACTGTCAACTAAGTAGTTACCTTAAATTTTCTTTTACGTATGTAGATCATACATACATGGACTTTTATTAGCATTACATGTGTCTTCTCATGTACCTATGTGAGCATATACATGCATACATGTTTATTTAAATGTCAGTTACTCCCTGCATTTGGAGTAGCTTGTTAAATGATAACAGCAGTCCTACATCACTGGATGAGAGGCTATTTCATGTATCATTAGGCATTTTCAGCATAGTGCAAATTCAGTGCACTTCAGTGATACACCAAGTAGCTCCATAGGACCACTGTAGCATATGTGGTCTTTTGCTTATTGAAATGTCGTGTGACACTGACTCTAAGAAGCATTACACAAATGAGGTAAAGCTGTACGACCTTGACAGTGGGCGGAGACCAAGGCACAAACCCATTTGTTTGTACTATCTTGTCACTGTCTGGAAAGTCATTCAAACCAGAAGAACACTTCTGTTATCCCACTCCAGACTCTGCCAATGCATGTTTTAACTGTAGCTGAAAATGAGGAAAACAGGTTTTGTATAGCTAAAGTTTTGTCAGTTTATAACCAATTCACTCTTTGAAAGCAGTGTCCTTTAGAATTCTCTAACTTTGGCTAATTTTTGCCCAACTTCACACTTAGTAGCCTAGTTAGGTCTCCTCAGTCTTCACGATAATCACCAACTGCAGCGTGGTGAATGAGGCATCCCAGTATCAGAAGTGTAGCTCCAGCAGAGGTAATAAGTAAGACACACGTACAAGAACTCAGAAGGGTGAACTAGGGCTGTGGTGGGTGAGCAGGTGGCCCGTCTTACAGCAGTAGGTGCTAAGAACGCTTAATGATAGTACTAAAAGGGAAACAGTCCTGTGACAAAAACACCCCCTCTGGGTTGTACATCAGGCTGTGCCTACTTTTATCACTGCTGTCACCAGTGCTACACACAGCATCTGACATTAGTACTGGAATACAGCGTTTATGTATAGTGTAGGTTTCTGCAATTCATTTCACCAAATATCAACTGTTTTTCTTGGAAAGGGATTATGCTGTCCATTAAAGATTCAGGGCACTTGTCAAGTACATTAGTATCATCAAACTCTTAAAGCTCTGCCAATCTGAAGAATAGCTATTTCAGTTTCCACTTACTTATAGAAAAAAGTTTGGGGACTTAGGTTTTTTTCCTATGAATGATCATGGTACTATCATCTGCTGGGGTTTTAAAATTTTTTTTCAGCCCTTGTTAACATATTTAGAACATATATTTTTTAAAAAAAATTCTTGTCATTTTTTTCATTTTTATATTCATGTGCATGTTATATATATATATATATGTGTGTGTGCATACATTCATGTTTGTGTGTATGTACAGGCATGCATCTAGGCTGTTCACGAGAGGCTTCAGTTGCTATTGCTCACCTTCCACGTTGTCTGAGATAGGGTCTTTTATTGTTTGCATTTGCATGTACCAGGATAGCTGGCCTGTGAGCTTGCAGGGACTCTGCTATATTGCCTCTCACCTTGCTGTGGGAGCACTAGAATTACAGTCATGCACAATTGTCAAGCTTTTACCGGGATTTTGGGGATCTGAACTCAGGTCTTCATGTTTGCATGGCAAACCCTTTGCCCATTGAGCCACCCCCACAGCTCCCATTCAGTATAGAAGCTGTCGTAGTTAGGGTTTCTATTGTTGTGACAAAACACTGTCACCGAAAGCAACTCATGAAGGAAAGGGTTTATTTGCATTATACTTTCATATCATTCCATTGTTGAAGGAAATTAGAGCAGGGATTCCAGGGACCTGGGGCAAGTACTGAAAAAGAGGCCATGGAGAAGTGATGTTTGCTTGCTAGTTCCCCGTGGCTCACTTAGCCTATTTCCAGTACATTCCAGGCTGCCTGCCCAGGGGGTCACCATCCATAGTGAGCTGGACACTTGTACAGTAATCTCAGCTCTGGGATTATAGGCTCATGATGCCATCCCTGCCTTTTTTTGTGGCCCCTGGGGACCCAGACCCAGGTTCGCATATTTCCATAGCAAGTCCTTTATCCATTGAACCATCTCCCAAGCCCCAGTAGCTCAGGTTTTAAAAGCACATCATCCATACTGGAGTTTCCTAAGATCAATGTGCTGCTTTGAAGTTTAGCATGTCATACTTTACTTGCCAGCAGTTTATGTGTAGTAGAGGTTCAAAAATAATAGCTCATTATAAGTGATGAAAGGTAGTATACTTTCCTTTGCTTCCTTCATTCAACAAATATCCAAGCAGCTACTGTGAGCCAAGTTTTATAAATAAGGTGGAGAAAGTTGCTGTTTTCTAGGTTGTTTGTTAGAAAATTGATTACCTACTCCTAAGTCTTTTTTAGAAATTCACTTCCTTCTAGTACTTTTTTCTTTATTAAATATAATTTGATTTTCTTTTTTCTTTTGTGTTTTGAGATGGGATCTCACTGTACATCCCTGGTTAGTCTAGAACTCACAGAGATCTGCCTGCTTCTACCTCCCAAATGCTGGGACTAAAGGTAGGCACCACTGTACCTGGATAATTTGGTTTTCTTTTCCAGGTTTCTGTTAAATTTTGGCACGGTCAGTTTTTACCTCGGATACAATGCAATGCAGGATTTTTTTCCTACCATGTCCATGAAGCCAAACCCTCAGTGTGATGACAGAAACTGCAGGAAGCAGCAAGAAGAGTACAAGGTATACACAATCGATGGATTGGTCAGGAAGTCCAGGACAGTAACTTGGAAAGGAAACAGCTTGAGAATATGATATAAATGGATTCTAGATTTTAATAGTTGTAGTTAATTTAGCATACTTCAAAGCAAAAACCCATTTTTGCTTTTGGTAAGATGAAGACCCTGTGTGAATTCTTGGGGAGTGCTGCAGAGAACTGAGGAGTAATGCTGCTTTGGTCCCTTGCCTTATACAGAAGAAGGCAGCGACACGCCCCACACAGGAGGCTGCCCCTGAGGAGGAGGAAGAGATAACACATGAGGACAACGAGTGGGGTAGGAGGCCTCCACGCGCCAGACTCACATTGGAAGCATGCTCTGCTGGGAGGGAGTATAAGACTGCGCAAGATCTCTGATAATTCTTACAGTGCTTTCTGGCGGGGATGTAAGAGGGAACAAAAGCAAGTGATTGCTGTGGATTTCTCGGGAATGAGCACAGCCTCACATTCAATCCTGCAGGTATTGAGCTGGTGTCTGAGGTTTCCGAAGAGGAACTGAAGAACTCTTCAGGGCCCATTCCCGACCTACCCGAGGGAATTACAGTGGCATACACAGTCCCAAAGAAGGTATTTGTGAAATCTGGTTTACGCATACTTAAATATCAGAGAAGAGAAAATATGTATTTCTCTTCTTTCAGCATCATGTTATGTCAGTAGGCTACTGAGGTGTTTCCTCTAGATAGCTGTGCGGTTGACCTTGAGGTGCTGGGAAGTGTTCAATGTCAGCATGGAGACAGGCACAGCTCATTGGAAACTAAGAAACTGAGACTTCCAAAAATCCACAGATGTATCAAGGATAATAGATTTTAGTTAAATTAAAATACTACTTTCATTTCATATGCTGATAATTTTAGCCACAAACCCATTTAAAAGTACTTCAGGAAAGGGTGCTGGTATGTGCCTGTGGTCCTAGCACATAGGAGGCTGAAGCAGATGTGCAGTTTGAGATGAAACTGTATATGTAATAACAGCCTGGAAGCAGAGGTTGTGGGTGGGAGGTTAGAGGTGGTAGGAGAAAGAGAGAGAGAGAGAGAGAGAGAGAGAGAGAGAGAGAGCCAGCCAGCCAGCCAGACAGACAGCCAGACAGACAGAGCATGCACATGAATCAACCTACAGACATACAGACTCTCAAGTGAAGACAGAGCAGAGGCTGGGAGCACCAGACAAAAAGATATACAAGTAGGCAGTAGGTATTGAGAAATCACTGAATATTATTGACAGTCAGGGGCTGCAGATGAAAGCCAGTGAGGTACTTTTCACTCCAGGTGGACAGGTAAATAAGTGCTGGCAAGAGTGTGCAGAAAGGGAGCTGGAATGTCATAATGCACTGCTATAGATGCAAATTAGTGCATCTGTTAGGGAAAACAGAATGGGGGCTCCTCAGAAACTTAAAAAATTACCGTGTATGTGATATATGTGATCCGGCAGTCTCATGGGGGAGGGTCGGTACATATCTAAAGCATATATAGCCAAAATGCCCATTGACTAATAAAAGATGCGCACACACAATGGAACACTTTTGAGCCATGAGAGGATGGCAACCTGTCATTTGTGATAAGACAGACGGACCTGGAAGTGATTAAGTAAAATAAGATTGGCACAGATGGACAAGCGTCACATGATCTCACTCATCTATGGGCTCTAAAAGGTTTGATGTTGTAGAGTGGAGCGGTGCTCCCAATGGTGAGCAGGGGGAGGAGGAGAAGAGGCTGGCTAGCAAGCAGCCTGTAAGCTGCAGCTAGTTAGGAACACTAAGCTCTGGTCACTGTCGCAGAGGGAGGGGTGGCTGTGGGTAGTCACCAATGCATGTTCACAAAGACAGTGGTTTTTGAATGTTCTAATTACAAAGAAATGATTTGAGGCGCTAGGTTTATTATGGAGTGAACATCATACTATATACATGTACTATAACTTCATGATCCACTATAAGGTTGTGTAATTTTATACTAAAAATACACTCAGTAGAAATGCCAAGAATATTGAAGTTGCTACCTCCTGAACAAAATTTTGGTGGGTAATATAAAGAATATGTATCCGATAAATATGCTTCTTAAGCACATTGAGCCTGGGTAAAGTAAACTTTGGGCGAGTAGATTTGTATGGCTGTTTTCATTGCATTCCCTCTTTTCTTGACAGCAAGAGGGCTCTGTTTCTGAAGTAACAGTGGAAGATTCTGGTGAAAGCTTGGAAGATCTCATGGCCAAGATGAAGAACATGTAGACAGTGGACTGGCATTTGTTTGATTTTCTGTGCTTATTCTGTTCCCTTGGAATTAAAAAAAAAATCAGAACTAATAAAACTTAGGGCCGCCTTAACTGGCATGTGAATCTTCACTGAGTTGTATGCTGTGTGGAACACGCAGTTGCTTCTTGCTTCTCTCTACAACTGCATCAGTAATCCCATCCCATAATTTCCTTTACAGGAATGAGCCGCCTGTCTGTGGACTGAGGCCCTGGACTATAAGTAGTACAGAGGGAAGGTGAGATGTTTAGCCTGGAGGCTATGGCTGGCAAGTGTCTGAGTGTCCGAATGGCTCCCTGCAGTTACCCACTACTGCTAATCTGACCAGAAGTGACTTGAGACAATCAGCCTATACAATAAAACATCACTTCAGATGTTTCTCCATGAGTAGAAGCTGTTAACGTGAGCTTTCTGGCCTAGTAGGTCCTGCTGCCCTTCTCAGCTACCAAAGAAACACAGGGATGCTGTATTAGGTATAAGGCTGTTGGTCATTGGCTTGAGTTTCTTATTGGCTAGCTGTCTTAATTATTAACCCATAACTAACTACTGATACATGTATTTCCATGTGGTCTATCTTTACGGAGACTGCCAGATCTGAAACTCCTTTGCCTGCTACATGATGACTGCTCAGTGTCTCCGCAGAGAAGCGAGTGATTTCCTGTTTGTCCCTACTTATATCCTTAGCTATGTCATCTCCTGTCTGGCCAATCAGCCAATCAGTGTTTTATTCATTAACCAATAAGAGAAACATACACAGAAGAACATTTCCCATCAACGAGCAGAGTATCTTCTTCATTGGCAGTGTGTAAACCTGTGACTTAAATGTTTAAGACAAAGCACAAGCTGTTTTTGTGGGCAGACAAATACGTTCAGGAAAAAACATCAATTGTATTCTAATTTTCACTGACCAAGGAAAGGCATTGCCTTCTGTAACAAGTGCCTGGAGTCGTCATGCTACCGAAGAACAGGCATGAATGCAGTGTCCAGACCATGTACGCCGTCATATAGACTGACCCTAAATACTTCATTTCAACTTGATTCCCTAAACAGTGAGAGTTAGCAAGGCTTGTCCTGAGTAGTGGACAAGATGAATTGCCTCTGCAGTGACAGGTATTTGTTCTTTGCAAGGGTTTCCATTTCCTAACTGTGACCACTAAAATTGTCAGCTGATCTGAATTTTTGATGGATCTTTACCCCAACGTTATGAAATGAATCTATGAATGTCTAAGTTGTGTGTATTGGGAAATGTTAGCAAAAGTTGAATCATTCCTTACTTGTAAAATGAAGTTGTAAAGACCAACTCTAGACATTAGTTTAATGTACTAGTTTTGAGATTCTAGGATTTTATATGATTTTTTTTTCATGTTTGTAGTGAAGTCAAGAAGAGGGTATGCTTAGCTTTGAAACTTACATTTATGTCGCCTTGGTAAATCTGTATTTCTTACAGAACTTAGCATATTAGATTGGAAGATAACTTTTCAAATCACTAGACATATTTTCAATTTTTACAATGAAATTTTTTTCAGAATACTTCTTGAGAAATAGTGGTCCCTGAATTTTTTAAGCTTTACTTGAATTGTTGGACTTTCAGGGGGATGCAGTAGTCATGTCGTCACCCCCCGAGGAAGTTGCATGACACGGAGCCCAGCCTTCAGATACCAGAGTTCTAAAATTTGATCAAACTACTGAGTAAACTTGACTAATATTCAAGTCTGCTAAAACATGTTCAATGTTTATTTTTAAATAATAATGCAAAGTGTAGCCTTCTAGTAAGAAAAAAGTACAAAAAAGGAGAACTTGGCAATTGTACTTTTAAAAATGGAATACAATTTCTGTTGTTATAATAATACATATTAAGATCTCATAAGATTTAAAATTGATGAAAATTTTACTATAAATACACAAAAACAATACCTAATGTGGCAATATTTATAAAGTCTATAAAAATATTTAATTTTCAGTATAAAAGTGACAACTAATTGACGAGGTAAAAGGAGACTGATTTAGACCATTTAAGAAAGAAATGGAATTGTCGTGGCTTTTTTTGTGCATTGAGGAATAAATCCAGGGTCTGAAGCATACGGCCATTGCATCCCCAGCTCCACTTTTTAAATTTTGTGACAAGGTCTCACTAAATTACCCAGGCTGGCCTTGAACTCACTCCACACTCTAAGCTGGCCCTGACCTTGAGAACCTCCTGTCTCATCCTGTGAGTAGCTGGGAGTCAGGTCTGTAGCACAATTAGATCAGAATGGTACAGAGAATGGTACAGTTGCCATCAGACGCTGTGGTGCAGCAAAGTGACAAACTTCCCTGGAGACAGCACAGAAAGCAAGGGCTGACTAAATCAGCTTAGGGGAAAGGAAGACTCAAAAGCAAGGCCAGACGTGGTGGCATGCACCTGTGATCCCAGCATCCAGGAGGCCAAGGGGGAATGGTCATGAGTTCATGGTCAAGCTGAGCTACACAGACTCACACCACACACAGTAAGATGCTGGGAGATACTCAGTTGGTAAAGTGCTATGTAAGCATAAGGACCTGAGTTCAATCTCCAGAACCCCTCTAGAAAGCTGGGCATAGGGATGGAGGCTTGTATTCCTGTCTCTTGTATTTCTGGTGGAGACAGGTGGATCCATTACCAGGATGCCAGAAGACCAGTCAGTCTAGCTAAGTGAGCACCAGTTCACTGAGACCCTGTCTCAAAAACAAACAAACAAAAACAACCCAAAGGATCTCAAACACACACACACACACACACACACACACACACACACACACAAGGTGGACAGCAACTGACCTCTGGCCTTCATATATAGATGCACGTGTGTGCATGTTCTCACACACAAACCCAGAAAAACAAGAGTTCTTATCTAGTTTATTCCATTGAAGATTGTTCAGACCTTTCATAAACATCCCTTTAGCCCTTTTGAGGTAGAGAACTGGGTCAGACCCCTGCTGAGAACAAGACCAGTGAATGACAGGGCTAAGGCTGCTCTCCAGGAAGCAAAAGAATCATGGAATTCTTAAACCATGGGCTCCTGTCAGCTCTTGCTGCAGAGACCAACCCACTCCTCATGCCATTAGGGCACTGATGTCTACACCCTGGATCTCATCCCATAGGAAATGGATTCTTTAATCAATTTAAGCTGGACACAACAATTCAGTGCAATCCAATACAACTTAAAACAAATACCAGTTAAATAACACTAAGTAGGAAAAATGATTTTCTTTCAAAAACACTGTTTTGAATTTGAATGTTCCAGATGTTTGTTTTATCCTGTGGTATTCCTGCAAAAAAAAACCTGGCACTGTTACCTTTGTCCTTGGGGTAGGAAACTATTAGGAGAATGAGTTGTTTTGAAGATAAATGTGTCTCCACTCGATGACTGCCTTGAAGGAGCTTTTCCACCCAAAAGTGATGTCTCTGCTTCTTTTATTTCCATTGCCCTTTTGTACAGTTCAGCGGCCTTTTCAAAATTCCCTTCTTCATAGCTTTGAAAGAAAAAGCATGGGAAATATACTTATTAGCAAGAAGCAGCTGTCTCTTCTAAATAGCCATCCTAGAGACAGAAAATCAAGTTACAAATAATTTCCCATCCCCACTGCACTTGCTTTTTCCTTATATATGGTCATAGGGTTGGAGGCTACTCATCCAGGTAGACCAGTTGGCCAGAGTTCCCAAACTCATCTATCTATATCATGGATTATGTCTTTTGTATATGTACCATTAAGACCGTGTTGTAATGGGTTTGGTAAAAAATGGTAACAAGTGTTGTTACCATCTGTACCCCAAGATGAATACACAGGAGTGAGTAAAACTCAACACATACTTAACTCATTGGCTCTGAGGTCAGTAAGTAGCCCTATCGCCCAAGAGGCAGTCAGCAGTATAAGCCATCTTCTCTACAGGCCACGATACATACCTTCAAAAAGTAAACCTTCCTCACCCTACTCTGAGTATCACCTGAGGATCTAAAGCTACAGGAGACCAAAACAACTACTCTCCTCCCAAAGAAAGACTACTTCCAGCAATAAACAGTTCGTGCTGTTCTGTGATGAGTGAGAACTGTTAAAGACCTGGGATAGATGAGAAAACAGGGTAATTTCTTACCTGAGAACAGCTAAATTTTTTAACGTTTCTCCAACTCGAGGATGCATCCGCCCCAAGCTGTCTTCATAAATCTTTAATGCTCTCTCATAAAGTGGCAGGGCTTCACTGTGCTTTTTCTTATTAAAAAAAAAAAAATCGTGCTCACTTAAACAACACTGTTTATGAAATGACTATTAATGTATTCTATACTGAGCTGACCTACTTTGGTCAGCACTTTAAAAATCTTAATATCCTCCTAAGAGATGCAAGTAAACACTATTTTATGAACAATTATAACTGGAGAAGCAGTATAATAGTTAGGAAACACTCCTTCAAGTTTCAGACTTGTCCCTAGCCCCAGTCTGACCCGACTCCAAAGCACAAGGCTGCTCAAAGACCTTCCCATCCTTTAGGCAGATGCTATGAGACTGTCCTGTGGCTTCAAGGATCTCCAGAAGGTGAAACGCAAACCTGAGCTCAGCAGTTGGCTGATGTTCTAACTCAGACAGGAACCAGCTTACAAATACAACCTCAATAAAGTTGAGGTATTTAAAAAGGAAGAATTAACTGGTAAATAGTCTTACATTTTCTTTACTGTGCCATTAACCTGTATTTATCCATATTTTTTTACCCTCAGATTATTAATTTGTAAACAGTTGAAACGTAGATGCTTACCATCTGGCTATGAAGGACTGCTAAGTTCACCAAGGCAGTAGCTACACTGGGGTGCTTTGGGCCAAAGGATTTCTGCCGAATTTCAACAGCCAATTCATACAAAGGTACAGCTTTGTCAACTTTTCCCTAAAAACAAAAGTACAATTTAACACAACCATGAAAGCCATAGATAATCTGACCAGAGCTTCCCCCAGAAATAAAATTTATTAAGTAAAGTTGCAGAAGCATTTTCTAGAGCTGGTCGTGCCTATTTTCAAGCAA